AAATAGACATGTGAGTTGGCAGTGCAGACACCTATTGTGAGCTAACTCATGGTACAACAAACACCTTATGGAAAAGCAAAGCAGCTACCTTTTATGTAATTACAGCTATAGATTCTCCACTTGATATATGATTATGAGCAAAACATAAGGAAATTCCTAGATGAATTTAAAAAGGCCAGTGTGAATGAGTAAGGCATATTTGCTGCAAGCATGTTTAGTTTTTAAGTATATTACAGTATACCACAGAAACCTAAGGTGAATTTGGTTCTGGTGAAATGATTCTTAATGACTAGTAGGTGTCAGAGTAGGCAGGCAGGTACTGTACAAGGGCAGCCTTACTGCCACAATATGGATTATTTGCCTAATTTAAAAGCATTTCTTTTCTCAAATGTAGCATTTAACCATTTTAGAATACTGAATAACAAGCATTTACTAATGCTTTTCTAATTAGTTTTTAACTACATAGATTTGCTTGTAATCATAAAATAATACTGTGAAGGGAACTCTAGACACTCAAAGATCTTCCTGTTTCAGAGGGCTGTTAATTATTATGATATTTCATGGAGAATGTACCAGACAGAGAGAGAACGTACATAATAAGTGCTTCATGCTGTGCTTAATTTACATATTGAAGTATTTTTCTGAGGCAGACATCTAAATATCAGCTTAAAACTAAAATTTGTTAGTTTGTTTTACAAAAAAAAAAAAAAAAATTAAAGTTGATATGCTTAATGACATGATCCCAAATAAGCTCTTCATATGAATTGAAAAATATCTGTACAAGAATATCATAAAAACAAGCTTTCAGAACTTTATAAAAAGTTTTATCAACAAATTCCTGGTCTATATTCTTGTCCTTTTCTGTTAATTATGTCCTTTTATTCCAATTATGACTCCTGGGAATAAATCATAAATCACTCCCAGTACACTCTCTAAAAATAGGTGAACTTTATAAATGTGTCATGTAAAGGAATATATGAAACATTACAAAAATCCTATTCCATATTTAACTGCTAATTTCCAGTAGGATTTATCTATAGAAAAACTGAAACACTGAATTTTTATGCTTATTACAAGAATTACTGAAAAATTACTTTAAATCAGATGTATATATTTTGAATTTGAACATCAAAGCAGAAAAATCATAGCAATGTAACACCAATAACTTAAGTGTGAGTTGCTGATTTACAGATCATGACACTAAACAATCCAGTTGAATTTTGATTTCATGGAGTGCATTTGCTGCGCAAGAATAAGAATTTTTATGCTTTTTAGTTGAAACACTACAGCTGGAAAAGTATTTCCTGTTCCTAATTGTAAATATCAAAGCATTTCACGTGTAAAGTTTTTGAACTGCCATAGGAAAGGAGCCATGGCTGAATGGTTACCATTTGTAAGATATAAACTTCTACTTCTAGTGACATTGAATGCAGTGGAGAAAAAACCCCATATAAAGAATGTTTAATAATACTTTTAATTAAAAAATAGAAAGGATATATCTTGGGGCTGTAACTACTGAGATATTATGGATGTTTTCTTACCAAATCTACAGTTTTTAAATTAAATATTAACATCGTATAGGACCCTTTTGAGATAATTTATTCACAAATAGGAAGGGATTTAGCTAAAAGTGACAAAGCCTTTTCTGGTTACTGTGAGGGTGTTTGGATGGTGTGGATAACAAACAAAAAATATCCTAAAAACCACAAAAGAAACAAAGACCACATCAGTATATGTTTACTATTAATTTGCTGCTTCATATAGAATACACAATATTATTTTATGTTGATAAGGAGTGTTTCTATGTGCAATAGATTTAAAGGTATTAGAAAACAGTACATTATTTATCCTGTTATCTAGAAAATAAAATATGGCATGCCTAGCAGTTACTCATGGCTAGAAGAGTGACTCTATAGTTGCTAAAAAAGAGCAGAAAATGAGATTAATGAAGCTGATGAAGCTACTAAGAACATTAAAACATCTACATGTGATACTCCCTTTTAGCTAATCAATTAGTAGGAAACATTTTGTTACAATGTAGATGTGTTGTTGTAATTCCTGTTTTGTGTTTATCTGTATGAAACCTGTCTTGTTTTATTTCAAATATCTCCCATCTATTTAGATGAAAATGTTCTATGCTCTAATTTTCTGATACACGAAGACATGCAATCAAATTTATATTACACCAAGTAGTACAAGGTCTGTTTTTCTACTCTTTATTCATGAGTCACCCTGTGGATAAAAGAACAGGAAAATTCTATTATTTCTGACTGAAAGAAACAGGATAATCTCCTGAAATAAATGTATTAAAACAAATACAGATAATTAATATTAGTTACCATATCATTTTTTTGCTAAATAAAATATAAGATCTTATTATCATGCTATCTATTTACATACAAGGTTTCATCTTCTGAGGCCTTCACAAATATTAATGAAGCCAGTTAGTAAAAACTTCAGTATATTCCTTGCATCGTATAAATGGAGTGTTGAAGTCAATGGCTTTTTTCAAGGCTATACAGCTAACAGTGGGATAGATATTCTTGGGCTTCTCAGAGTTCAGTCCACAAACTACAGAGAAGTGTGCTGAAATCCTGTTAATTACTTAAATAGTACATAGGCAGGTGTGCATCACTGAATTTATAGTGTATCATGAGGGATATCTTGCAGATTTCCTGTTTTTAATCCAGACTTTGTGACAGGTGCTTTTAGATAAATGAATATTGGCCTTATATATTGCTTGAAAGGCACTGTTGCTTTTGAAAAAAATAATCAGTTCACAGACTTCAAAAAAATTGCATTGTACTTTCATTTAGTTCTTGCATGTATCAGTATGTTACAAAAATACTGTGCTGTGCTAAAAAGTATAACATACAAAGATTACCAGACCCTATCTGTTATCTGTTGGTTTGTAGAAGAATATAAACATTATTTTAATCTTTTTTTTTTTTTATTTTATCACTAGGTTCCTGATAACAAATTCACAGTAATGAAATCTGGTTCAACTCACTGATAAATTATCATCAACTTTCTTGGATTTCAGAATGATTTTGAGTACCTGTTTCTCTTTTGGACATATAATTGTATTGGTGAAGGACATATTAGCTGGGTCAAAGATTACTAATGAATTAGAACTTTTTTAGGACGCATATTATACAGTAGCTTAAATATGATGTTCAGAGTAGTGATTTATATATATGTGTATGAAATTTATTTTGATATCAGTCAAATGATTTCTCAGGCCTTAGATGTAACTAGAAAACAATTAAAAAAAAAAAAGCCATCTGTGTGTAGGGGGATACTGCAATCTTTTCTATCAGAAGTCTTGTTTTCTACCTCTTACAGTCCTTGAGGAGAGTTCAAGATCTTATTTTTTGCCCCCTTGAAAAAACTCTAAAAACACCAACTATTTCTTTAAATAGTTTGAATATTAACAAATATAGGGAGTGTGGGGAGGATGCTTCTGAACTCTGGACATTTCTTCAATATTTGACATAATACAAATAAAACTGTAAAATTTAAAGAATCTCAGCACTGACTTCATAGCCCATCTACATGCATGTGTGTATGCAGGTAGGTACACACATGATTCCTCATAGGTTGAAGTTTATTTTTACTGTGGATTTACCATTCTATTTAATAAGGGTTTTAGAAATTATTTATTCAATGCTATTTAAACAAAATGTTAGCAGCACCAACATTTCATTATGAATCAGAAATTCATATAAATTTAAGTGAGATTTTATATTAGTGTTTGACATAAGGGCATCCGCCTGTCTCCAATGATATTGTGATGTCTGATTCCTTTCTTAGAAATGAGAAGAGCAAAGATTAAGAGGTATGAGGAATGTATCCAAACAATAGTGCCAATTTTTGTCTAAAATATTTTCAGACAGTTCTTCAAGAATTACGATGAATATGACTTCTTAGCAAAACACAGTCTATGAACACCTTTGTGGGTTTTTTTCTGTTTCTCAAATTAGCAGCTGTTCAGAATTTCTGTACTCAAACTCATTAAAGCCTTCTCTTACTACCACTGCCAAAAGGCCCCAGGAGAAGGTTCTAAATAGAGGAAGTTTAAAGGGCACATCCTTTCTGTTCTGTATTCTTTTAAGCATGTTGTTTTGTGCATTTAAAAAAAAAATGACACTGAAACTACTTCCATGTATTTACACATGTATCTTTTCAGTCAGCACTAGTTTCCGAAAGATTTTTTACTTCTCTTCCTTATTGATAATATACAGTCTCATTAAATGTTCAGAAACACTAAGGAATTACCATACTTTCAGCTGCAGAATTAGGTGCTCAATTTGCAAAAAATTATGTCACGTTTCTTCTTATTCACTCCAGAGAATGTGCACTGCAGTCAGAGACTAGGGCACAAGCTTTTTCAGAACTAGGTTTTCTGACTTTGCAGATATTTTTTCTGTTTAAAGAACATTCTTTTCCTGTAGCATCGGACGGCTTATGTGGCTATATCTCTGCCTTGAGTGTAAACTACTACAATTGCTTCTAAAGGTAACTAATTTTATTTCAAAATGATAGTTTATTATCAAACCCTGCTAAGTTGCAATAGTTGTATGTTCTGAATTTATGCAGATGCTTCCTTAAAGGACTTTTGTCCTTTTTCCTTGTACATCACTGCAATGAATAATGATATTGTAAATTTATTTTGACTGTGACTACATTTCATGTTAAGTTGTGCACTTGTTTTCTAACATATTCTTCATTTACACAACACTGGATGTATTGGAAAATATTTTCCCAAAACCTAACTAAATCATATTTATATGCTAAATGTTGAGTATAATAAATAATTATAAGCCCTTTATAGCTAGAGCCCACACAATGCTTTAAAAATGTACCAGTATACATACCTCTATTTATTTTCTAATGTACTTAAGAAAAAATATATTTTCTATGGAAAATGTGTCAATGCATAGCAAATTTGTCATATTAGTGCTCCAAAGTATCTATAAATAACCACACTCACCAATAGATTATGTGCACTTCTACATATATTTACTGTTGAAAAAAAAATCAGTATATTGTTGTCAGTTTTTAACTTTTTTAATACAAATTCTTTTAAAAAATATTTTCCTCACTTTATTTTAAAAAGTCTTTATTAACAGTGAGGTGAAAATCACACAATGGCATAGAGAATCAAAAAGGGACAGCACAATGTTCTATGACATTTTAGCGCACTTCGGTGCCACCATTTTTTTTTATCCCCATAGAAATGCAGCAAGTAATGAAAAATGCTGCTTCATTGATTTCAAGCATGTATATTTTAGTTTAAGGTGACAAACATATGATCACTGTTTCTACGTATGAAAATGGGCATTTACATCTTCAGGGAGACGTAATAGATTTATTCTATAAATCTAGAGATGTTCATCCAACAAAATCCATATATCTTTTCCCTCTTAGAATCCCTCACAAAATAGAATGCCTTAAAAGAAGTCTTTGAATGAAATAGCGTGCCACTCATACAGGCATTTTTATCGTCCTCCGCCTTTTTATCCAGTCTGTGAAATAGGGATTTTACTAAGCTTTCCCCTTCCTTAAATGTTCAATTTAAAACTCTAAGGAATAAGGGAAGAAGGTGTTCATTTGGAACAAAACAAAGTAAGGAAAGAGAACTTTCTCTCCATGAAGACACACAATAAAAATTTACAAGGCAATAAAACTAAGACCAACTGATTTAAAAGTTAGGTTTACATTCTTCCAACCTGTCCTGTTGTGGGTAAAATTTACACTTTATTAGGTTTATATCAGCAACTCTCATATAAGAGTTAAGATAAAAGAAAACGTGTTTTTATTATTCAGTCAAAATATCTGCTTTGGTGTACTATTACCATCATCTTGTAGGTTTTATCCCACATTGTTACTACATCCCACAATGATAGAGTATGGAATTGACTGGGACACATCCCTGCAGGTGGCTCTGTTGATATAAGTGGCACTAAGAGCCATTTATACCTACATGTCTGCAGCAGAAAGGGAAAAACTGAAATGCACAGGCTTTGGCTGCAGAGAAGTCCATGGGAGGGCTTCTCTTGAATTTAATTCAATTTAGGTCATGGCCTCAAAAAGAAGTCATAATTTTCACTTCAAAGTAAGTAGATGAGAAGGTTCCATGTAGTAAACGTAATAATTAAAAGTCTTCTTGCCATGGGTCATGTGAGGCTTTCACCTCCACCACTCCCCATCCACAAACAGGATATTTTTCATCACTTATTTGGAATAGCCAATAAGTGCAACTCTGGCCTTCCTAAAGGTGACCTCTTATCATGAAGCAAACTGTATCAAATCCACAACATGGATACAGTTTTTGATCCTGGGTCCTCAGCCTGATTAATCTATCAGAGATGCAAACAGAATTGCAAAAATGAAAACAAGAAAGCACAACATGTTAATCGGAACAATTTATGATTGCAGAGCATCCAGGCACCCTAAAGAAGGAAATAAATTTTTCCTAAAAATTAAGTAAATCTGTATAGAGGGAAGTAGAAAGGAATGGTAGAATTCTGAAAATTGAAAGTAAAGACTGATGGAAGAAAATAAGTCTTAAACTAAACCATCTGCTGGACATTTATATTTACAATTAACATTTATGTAAATAAATTTACATATTAAGGGTTTTGCCATATCATGTCAGTTTTCCATGTCTTAATAATGTTGTTGGGCACCTATAATAAACATTTTCTAAACTTCAGAATCTGGGGTCTAGCATTTATTTTTTGAATAGAAAAACAATGATTGCTCTCATTGCTTTCAGTGGGAGTAGGTATAAATAAATTCTGGAAGGTATTTAAATTTCAAACTCAAGTCTACAAGGTCACAGAAATTCTCAGATCCAAGCTTTAGACATCCAGTCATCTGACTGGGGAAAACAAAAAAAAATGCTTTGTGTGGGTCAATTACCTAAATATACCTAAATATCTAATGCCATTTTAATGCCTTCTACCCAATTCCTGTGTATGTCTTCCAAAAGACATAAACCTGTAGAATCTCTGACATTCACATCAGGCCATATGGGTATTTCAGATACCCCATGGTGTCTAAAGTGACCTTACATTCTTCTTTTTAGACAACTTACACCTAGCCCTCATATCTAACAGTTTGTTTGTACAATATAAATATATTTAATTTACTCTGTCAGCATAGTAAGCAAATGTTTAATTTTGAGTGGCGTAATCAGACCTTTTCTCACAGAGGTATAGTAGGTACTATTAAAAGTGCAGGATTAAAGTGTTCAAGTGGCAGACACTGTATAATTTCTATAACATAGAACAAAATAGTCTTGAGGTCTGGAAAAAATCATAGATACAACAGTTTCAGAGAATACATCCCACGTAGTGCACTGAGCATTACTTTTTGACAGAAGCATCATCACTAATTTTGAGGGACAGTGACCTTGACCATCTTTTGGTGTATTCATTCTTGATAAATTAACTATTGCTAGTGTTTTACTTGATCTTTCCAAAGGTCTTGCCTTTCCCCCCCCAGTTTTATTCAAAATACCCAGAATGTGCATGAGTCTCTTGGTGCCTTCACCTGACTGTAAGTGAAAATCTACTGCAAAAGAGATTCTAAATATTTCAACCCACTGTACACTCTTCAGTTCTGCTAAGCCTGACAAAAGGAAGGGATAATGAAGATATCAGTCACATCCCAGGGAGAAAAAAAATACAGTTTGTTCTGGACATCAAATGCCATGGCTCACAAGCAGATGCTGACACCAGCCAACAGCAGCTCAAAAGGCATTTTCAGTTTGAGGAAGTAAGACGGATCACCATAATGCAGCACAGCAGAATTTCTTTAGTAACATAAAGTATAAGAATCTACTTTTCACCTTGAACAAAAAAATCATCAATCAAATTTTAAAGAAAAGGATAGGAATAAATTAATAACAATTTTCCCATTCAAAAATCATATTCAGTGTGTACATTAAACTTCATTTGTAGAAGGTCACATTAGAACAGTCAGAAACTACCAACAATGAAATTGGTTACAATATCTAATTCACTGTTACATAAAATGCATTTACGGTATAATAGCTAAGGAATGCATGTAATTCAAAGAGGCCCGCTACAGCAATCACTGAGACTGAACATATCCAGTATAGCAAGTCTCAAATCCATTGCATTTAGAGTAGTGTGCAAGAACTTTTTCTGCCCAGTGAGAGCCCCCTGGCTTAGCAAGAAAGTCAGACTGTCACGTTATTATATTAAATTAAAACATTAATGATAATCAGAAGAAGTATTCCTTTTGATTTTCATTGGCTGTATTTTGCATGCTGAGCTCACTTTTCAATGCAGATTCAGCACTGTCTTCGTTTTCAGATCCTTTTGCCTCATTTTTTGAGTATATGCCTTTTTTTTTATAAATGCGTATGGCTATGGCCGTGATGCAAAGTACAATGAATATGACAACTGCTATCACACCTACAAGAAGAAAAGAGAAAAAAAGTAATGAGAAAGGATAGACAAATAATAACACGTAAGAGAGCAGGATAAAGAAGGAATGACTACATCACAAATGGAAGGGCTTACAGGAAAGCCTGAGAAATGAGAAGACAGCTGCTTTCAAATCAGAAACAGCACTGTAGAATAAGTTTAATGGTGATTGTTTTGAAATTTTGCATAGTAATAATAATAATAATAATAATAATATAAAAAGGACAGATTATTAAAATTTCTGAAATTTTTGAATGGAAAACCACTAGGGGCCTTTTTTTCAATAAGAAGGTTTCTTTTTCTCCTTCACTATCAGGCCCTAGTTTTGTGCTGTTTTAGGAACTCAAGCCACTGCTGATAAGGAACAGCAAGATGAGATATTTTGCACAGAGAAAGCAAGACCTTACAGACTGCCAACCCATCTCCTCTCTTCCTCATTCATCCTGTCATCATGGCCCTAGGACCTCAGCTTCATGAGTCAGAAGATGGGCAGGAGAAGAATTTGAGGAGATGTGAAACAGGAAGGAAATGGATCATGTTTGTCAAAGAGGCAGAAAATAGGACTGGCTGTTGGGAATGGAAAGAGCACTAAGCAGTCTGGGAAACAGTTGTAATGTGGTGCCTCAGTTACAGTAGACAAAGGGACAGTCTTTTGCACAACTTGATACCACTGCAAGAAAAATAAAAAATACCTAGTCCCTTAGCACTGTAGATAAAAACAGAGCATCCAAAATTCAGTACATGCCAATTTTCTTGACCTCTACTATGAGCAGCCCTCCATCATTATAGGAATATAAAGGTTTTAATACACTAGATCCTTCTCTGAAATGGACTTTGTAATCTAAGTAAATCTTGATTTTATTTAGATTAACAAAGTCTTTTATTTAAATCACAGTACACGCTATTTTTAAGGACTTTTCTATAAACTTGTTTTGTCTGAAGTAGCTGAACTGATACCATTATCAGTTATATTCAGCTAAGGGTGTTTAACCTTAATTTTTACTGTATGTTGCACAGTTTGCTTTGTTTTGACTTTTAAATAAACATAGACAGTAGAAAAATTGTGACTGCATATTCCCAAATGTGTTTAATAACGAAAAATGGTATTGTTATTATTATCTTAAAAGGATTTTACCTATTATAGTTTGAAGTTAAAAAAATGCATTTTGTTAGCACACTTAAAAATCTCCATCCACACTAAGTTATCTAATACATAGCAGTCTTTATGTACAGATACTTATGTAAAAATATATATTAATATTTTGAAATAGCAAAGCAAGTTTTGACGAAGCTGGATATGTAAAAAACTCATAAAACAATTTTTTAAATTCTGACCTTCCTTGAAATCAGTGGTAAAATTCTCAGTTGGTATGTAGAAAATTACACAGACATAACTATCACTTTACAAGCAGGGAACCTTCTAGGTTTAATAATCTCATTTTAGCATCTTTGGTGCTACTTTCTTAAAGGTCACTAGTGATGCAGTGTGTTTTTGCATCCCTGATTACAGGAGGTGTCACTGTATAAAAGGAAGACAAAAGTGACTGCAGATTCTTATCCTAACTCAACCATTCATACACTTAAATAATTTTAACTTTAATGAAAATCCTGGACAGTTTTATTCTACTAAATTCCACTATTTCCTTTGTCTACTAAGGCTTTAAAAATTATTAGAAAGTAAATATTTTCAGAATTTAAAAGACACTGCTGTTTCTGTCAAAGTATCTATGAAATTTGAATTATACTGCTAAAACATAATCTTCAAGCTTTATTTCCTCAGTCCCTCCTAAAAGAAGAAGTACTACTAGAAATTCTCACAGAGGATGATTATCACAGGAGAGGATACTATACCTTGAAAGAAAATTTGAACCAACAGAGACATACATATACTTCAATACTGGTAAAAGGACTTGAGTTTCTGGCAAAGGTCCCCAAACCTAAACTGCCCCTATTGAGTCTCACTTGTGCACTTCTCAGTTTTGCTGAAGAGACAGAACTGGTAGATTTCATACATCCATATGAGATATATCCTTTATGTAGGATTCATATGAGAGGGACAATCATCCAGAAAGGCATGGGGATGGAACCTGTACATCCTGATTATCAGTCGTGTACTTTAAGCACACACATCTATCCTAAGCTTTGTGCTCTGTTCTGACAGGCATAAACAGTAGAGGGACTATACCAAATTCACTTCAGAAATAACTGAATTCTACATGGTTCTTCCTCTGTTCCTCTGATAAAACCAAGTATTTTGAAAAAAAAAAAATTATGAATGGTCATTTGTAGTTCTATTTGAGCAGATATCAAAAAAATAGGAAGAAAATGAAGAAGATATTGTATTTCAAACCAAGAGCATTTTTTTAAATTATTATTATTATTTTAACATGTATTTTAAGCTGTAAATCAACACAAGTGAATGTCTTTCCAAGAGTACATTGCCTTCCAAAGGAGAAACCAGGATGAAATTTCCTCAGACTGTCAGAGGATTGATTCAAGCAGTGTTAAACCTCATATTCTCAAGGGAAAATCTTTGTTGTTCAGAATTATTACAGAAAATTTTAAACATGTCTTTGTAGCAAAAGATAAATTTTTGGCAAAATCAAGAAGAAATGATGGTTCTTTCTTTTTTCACAACAAATCCAAGCACTTTTTAAAGCTGTAGACACCACTATTATGCAGGTTGAAATTATGCCCTTACTACCCTGTTTTTCACCAGAATGTTTCAATATATGGAAATGGCATAAATTTATGTAATAAGAATAATGTGACCAATTGCATTTTAAAACAATGCTTGACTTTAATCTGTCTACCAACTGTAGAAAAATGAAAAGCTTTTACTTGTTTCTGTATGCACACAAAACTAAACTGGCTTTACTTAATCAATGACAGATTCACAGCTAGAAAGAAAAGTTCCCTGTGGATTTGTTACAGTCCCTATTACCTCCAATAATTGCAGAGTCACTTCTGATTGCATTAGCTAAGGGCTTTCCCTCATCTATTGGTCCAGAGTGATCTGCAGCAGAAAAAAAAAAAAAAAAAAAAAAGAAAATGACAGACATAGAAGACTTTTGTTATGAAATTCTCACAGTCACAGTTCATTTACAATATGGTACAGTGGCAGTAGTATGGGTCAGTAAGCATGCACAGAACATCATTGTAGATTACACTTTGCAGAGATAAAAAGAAAAATGTAAATATTCAGAGGAAAAGAGAAAGGCTAGAGAAAAGGAAGTAAGTACATATAAAAGAGAATTATTTACAAACTACTCCTGAGATGTTAACCCACATGGAAAAATAAAAAGTCAGTTGTGATTCAGGTCATGAGTATTCTATTTGGATTTTTCTTCAGAGATCAGAACAAGTGATAACCATATGCTACCTGCAAATGAATGGGTTGTTTCACTTGATGTTGAGTCAGCTCCAGTTAAAGCACCACAGCTGGATTCAGTGAAACGCCCTTTTACAATGACAGGGGCTGAGCTGCTGTGGTGCAGTGCAGCCTTCAAAGGAGCGATGTGGTTGAACTGCACTGAAGATAGACAGCCAACAAACCCCTGAGAGTTTGCCTTTATGATCTCCTCATCTACATCACTGTTTTCTGTTAATCAAAAGGAACAGAACACAATTAATCATAGTGCAAATGTACAAAATAAAGTGTCAGAAGAATAAATGAATAATTAACCTGTGTTCCTCTGAGTATATTCGAGTTGCAGCAACATATGTAGATTCACTGAATCTCTTTCTTGTCTGACTTTAACGAAAAGACAGTCAGATATATTCACCCCTTTCCCCCTTTCTTTTCGACAGACGACAGTTGCTAATCTCCTGAGGGAAATGCTTTTAAATTCTCATAGCAAGTTTCAAAGTAAAAAGTTTCTATTGTAAATAAAGTATTTAAAGTAAAATGCAACGATTTTTTCATTCTGCAAAAATATAAGACTGAGGAATGAATTCCAGAAAAATTCATTTTAGTGGATGTCTTCTAATAAATAAACATTTTTGGAACATATTCATGTTATAGACTCATATATCTACTCCATTTCAGCATCATCAAGTATGTCAAAACAAAAACCCTGAAGATCTCAGAATCTCAGATCTTCAGATTCTGGAAATCCATCATGATATTTTCTGTGAAATTTTTGAAAATAAGTAGTGTTACTTTATATTTTAAAACATGATACCATTATTGATATTACAAAGGGAGAGGAAAAAAATGAAAGATACCTCCTCACTTTTTCTCTTGAGTTACCTTTTCGAAGGCTGTGGAATGTACTTTGCATGTTAGAACTATCTGTTAATTCACCGATAATGCTCACTAAAGCACCACTTTTGATGCAGAAAACAAACTGTTTATTTACTCTGACAACTCTAATTTAAGCAAAAACTCTGGAAGTACTAGTTATAAAAGTAGAACTCATAAAGGAAGTAAATTTACAAATAAAATAGAAATTTCATCTCAATAATTTTCACTTCCAACATGTCCTGGAACCCACAAATGAACTTGTGACCTCTACAATACCTACCATAATAGATATAAGTTTTACAATGTACTCCTCAATAAAATTTAGGTTAATAGGGGAAAGTGGGATAATCTGTTCAGATAGAATGTTGCAAAATAGCAGAGTAGCATTTTCCTCAGCTAATCCCTGCTTATTGCAGTGATGATAGACTACTAGATAGAAGGGTGTCAGACAAAAGTCTGCTCACCTACACTGATGGATTACATAAGATGTTGGCTGTTTAACTGTCTCTGCTTTCTTTGTAGCTGTTTTTAATACCTGCCTCTATGCATTCATGGATCTGCTAGGATGGAATATTTAAAAAAAAAAAAAAGTTTAACAAAAAAGTGGCAAGAAAACATTTTGACAAACCCCCTATGACAAAAATATATACCTCTAAATATGAGTCAGATTGAAAACCTCAAGAGAAAAGTGTTTTTTATTATTTTTTAGTTCCTATATTAATCCTTTATTAAATTGCATATATGTATAAGAGGAAAGGAAATATTTTTAATTCTTTGATTTCACTTGACTCCTTAACCAGGGCATATTGATGGATAAAGTAAAGCTTTATATTGGATCAGGCAATCTTGATGATAAAAGTGAAAGGGCTTAGGGAAGACCGCCATCATCCACTTTCCTCCTAAAGTAAAATTTAACTGACTGAAAGTGGCACTCAAAAACACTCATAGATTGTTTATTGTATATTACATTAAACTGAAATGATGCATCCTTAAGTGTTGGGGGTTAGGTTTCTTTCCTTTTGTTCCTTTTTACTTAGGGATTTTTTTCCCATAAGTTGCTAAGAAACACTAATGACCAGGGTACTTTAACAAAACAAAAGAAGTGGCCATGCTCAGGGGGAGGAGGGCATCTGGTTGTACTTCTCTAGTCTGGGAGTTTCTCTCCAAGGGGTAGAGATACCGCAGGAATTGGACAGATAAAAGATGGGGATGGGGCAGCTGACCCTCTCTCTTGCCTTTGGAGAACACTTGGAGCTGCTGCTTGGGGAAGGGAATTCGCTGCTGCCAGTGGAGCCCAGCATATTCCTTTTCTTCTGCCGTGGGTGAACCTCTGTTTGTGAGAGCAGCCACTGAACCTCATTATCACCCACCTCACAAAAAGAGGGACCCATCCCCTTAATTTCAAAATTATAATAATTTGGAGGGAAGGCGTTTATATTTTGCATTCCAAGGGAGGCTCCTGCCTTCCTTAGCAGACATCTGTCTTTCAAAACCAAGACATTAAGTATCTTATTAGCAATTTATTTGATAAGGGTACCCAAGTTAACCATAGACAAAATGACTCCACCTACATTGTCTTTAAAAAAAAACAACAAAATAACAAAAAAGAACCCTCAAAAGCAAAACACACTCAGTAACTCTCTTACTTTAACTCTCAACCATTTGTTTTTAGAAGTAGTCAAGCAGAAAGTCAGCAGACATACAGCTCCTATCAGAACATTTTAAGACAAGAACTGTTATGCCTTCTAATAGCTTTATATCATATATTACATCACCCAAAACTGCACAACTCGAGGTGAGGCCATTCCAGTGCAATCCCCTCCCTTGCCTGGCTGGTGATGCCGTGCCTGAGGCACTCCAGGACAGGGCTGGCCCTCCTGGCTGCCAGGGCACTGCTGATCCATGTTCAACACATCATTCACCAGGACACCCAGGTCCCTTTCTGCAGTGCTGCTTTCCAGCATCTCATTTCCCATTATGTCCTTACATCCAGTTACAGACTCTGGAAGCTGTCTTTGTTAAACTTTATACAGTTGGCAACTGCCCAGCCCTCTAATTTATTGCTGTCTCTGCAAGGCTTCTGCCTTCAAGAGAGTCAATAGTTCCTCTTAATTTTGTATCATTGTCAAACTTACTGTACCTTCCTGTCCTGCGTTCAAGTCATTTACGAATATGTTGAAGAGAACAGGCTGAAGATGGAGATCTGTGGAGCCCTACCAGTGACAGGTGCTCAGTCTGATTTCCCTCCATTCACTGTGACCTTTTGTGCTTGACCTGTGAGCCAGCTGCTCACCCATCCCATGATGTGTTTATCCAGATGTGGACTGGACATTTTGTCCAGAAGGATCCTGTGAGAAACAGCTTCAAAATATTTACTGAAAGGGATTATATCAACTGGCTTCCCTTGATCAACAAGGGATATTTATGTTGTCATAAATGGAAATTGGGTTTGACAAGCAAGACTTTCCTCTCATGGACCTGTTCTGGCTATGACAATTGACTGCATTGTCCTTCAGCTGTTTTTTCAATGCCTTCTAGAATAATCTTCTCCATAATAAAAAAAAAAAAAAAAAAAAAAAAAAAAAAAAAAAAAAAAAAAAAAAAACCCAGACACTGAAGTGAGACTGACAGGCCTGTAGTTCCCTGGATCAGTCTTATATACCCTTATTGAAGCCTGGAACAACATCAGCAAACTTCCCATCAACTGGAACTTGTATAGATGCCATAATTCAAAAACCACTGAGAGAGGCCTGGCAGTGACATCAGCCAGCTTTTTCAGTATTACTGCTTGAATTCCATCAGGTCCCATAGACTTACAGGGATCCAGCTGGAACAGGACACTGTGCCAGTTTTGTTTGAAGAAAAAGCGGTCATGTTCAAATGCAGAAGAGCTCAGAAAAGTACTTATCCAACTGAAGAGAATTCTTTAAAGAAAAAAAAAAAAAAGGCTTCCTTGTGTGGTTTTCCTGAACGACACTTTCATGTACAAGAAATACATGATCTCATATTTTATTAACTCCTTATGTTTAGACCTCTTCACTGCAACAAACACTCATTACTTTTTTCCTCTGCCTTCATGAAGTCTTCTTCAATCTCTAGACAGGACTTCATAAGAATCAGAACCTAAAGCAATCATATTTCTGAGAGAAATAGTTACTTCTTTGAAATGCAGAAAGACATATGCTTTTTTCAGGACAGATTCCGAGACAAATTGAGCTGACTGCCCCACATGTCATTGCAACTCTGTGCTTTGTACTGCTGTGTCATTGCAAAGCCATCATATAAGTGAAGGAAATCACCTTTGAATTTTTGTAACTGCATGACTCTTTGGAAGAAACAATATTGGTCCTGGTCAAAAGATCATTTGTCTGGAAATATACATTTCCATAAATTTAATCAAATGCATTTTTAAGTAAACAGATATTAGTTTTGATGTGATATTTTATAACAAAGGTAAAAGAATCTTTCATTCTGTACTGGCCGCTGTGATATTAACCTTATGTGATTGTGACTGAAATAAGCTACTACACTTCAAAATATTATACATTCCTGATTCAATTTTATCATCATATTGTAAAGTTTGGAAATATTTGTAACAATTTTCTTGTAGTAGTTTACATTTCAGTGAATATTGCTTTAAAGTTATGTATAAGGGAACACTCTCTTTTTAATCTTCTGTGCATATCTACATACCAGTTCTCTTTTGCAGTGTGATATTTGCATATAAAATATACCTTTTGAAAGTATATGCTTCTGTTTGTGTTAGAGGTACTTACATTGTTTTCTAGTAAGAGAACAAAGCAGCTACACTGAGATTCTCCTAATGATAACTAAACAATAATTAAGATTTTTTCTGTGGTCTATAAATATGGCTTCTGAATTTCTTTAATACATTTTAAGCTATTTAGCATTTAGTAATTTTTCTCATAAAAATAATATGCATGAATTTTATTACATACTTAAAATTATTATTTTACCTTTTCTAGATAGCACTCTCATTAATTGAAAACAACCACCACCTCTTTGACAGATAAAGAATTAACTGCATCTCCTTATCCAAATATTTGCATGCAACAGCTCAATGTCTAAAAGGGATTGGTGACAGGTGGTGCTCCTCTGGGCTCACACTGATATCATTTCTGTTCAACATCTTTTCTAATGACACCAAGAGTAGGATTGAGTGTATCTGAAGAAACTCTGTGGATGACACTAAGCTGAATTTTTCAGTTGACACACCTGAGAGATGGACACTAACAGGTCTGAGGACTGGGACCAAGTGAATCCCATCAAATTCAACAACCACACGTGCAAAGTTATGCACCTGCATCTAGGCAGCCCCCAATATCAATACAGACTGGGGGGGATGAATGGATTGAGAGCAGCCCTGAGGAGAAGGACTTGGGGGTGTTAGTGGGCAAGAAGCACAACGTGGGCCAGAAATGTGTACTTGCAGGCCAAAAGCCATTGGTATTTTGGGGCTGTTCAGGGCCAGGTTGGATGCAGCTCTGAGAAAATAGTCTAGTGGAAGCTGTTTCTGCCTATTATGGAGGGTTGGAATGAGGTGATCTTTAAGGTCCAGTCCAATCCAGGCCATTCTATGATTCTGGACTGCATCCAAAGCATCATGGCCAGCAGGGCAAGGGAGGTGACTCTGTGCCTCTCATCTGCTCTGGTGAGACCCCACATGGAACACTGCATCCAGCTCTGGGGTCCCCAGCACAGGAAAGACATGGACTTGTTAGAGCAAGTCTGGAGAAGGACCATGAAGAGGATCAAAGTACTGGAGCAGCTCTCCTATAAAGAAAGACTGAGACAGTTGGGGATGTTCAAGCCTGGAGAAGTCTCCAAGGTCATTTTATAGCAGCCTTCAGTACCTAAAGGAGGCTACAAGAAAGGTGAAGAGTGACATTTTACATGTGCATGTAGTAATAGGACAGAAAGGAATGGCTTTAAACTGAACAGTTGTAGATTTAACCTGGAAATGAGAAAGAAATTCTTCATTTTCTTCAGATTCTATGTGGGTAAGAGACACTGGAACAGACTATCCAGGGATGCAGTGCATGTCCTCATAGCAAGTGTTCAAGGCCAATGGATGAGGCTTTGAATATGACCTGATCTGGACGAAGCTGTTCCAGCACACATCAGGGGTGTTGGAACTAGATGACCTTTTGTATCCTTTTCAACCCAAAACTTTCTGTGGTTCTATGAAATTACTTTAGAGGAAAGAGAAATGTCCTTTAAATTTGCACCAACACCAAATCTTCCTCTATCATTGCCAAAATGAAAGGTAAGGAAGTAACAAGATCTTGAGAATTTCAGTCCAGGCTATTGCTATTTTCTTTTAAGAAATGGTGATTTTAGATAGATAAATTATATTTTGATCATTACTGCAGAGAAACAGATATATTTTGTAGAATAATCATAAGACAAAGAATCTCCAACAAAGATTTGACTTACATAACCATATTCTTCGCTGTTTACATCAAAATCTAATCACAAGAAATTTTTCAAGTATGAATACATGATTACATAGTATTATATCATCTTTGTGTATGATTTCAATTTGATTTGTTTTTTTCTCCAGAATAGAAAACAAATTGATGTTTCTTAATGCTTGATTGCAAAATGAGAGAGAAGTGTACAATTATTTTTAATGGAACTCACTTGATCATTTTTTCAGGAAGCACTTATTTGTTATTATATCTGTATTTCCACAAGACTGAAGTTTCTACCTTGATTATTACTCTGTGTCTAAGTAAATTCACAACAAATGTCTTTCAATGACATTTGTGTTATTTTTTCATGCCCCATGATGATGTTTTATCCATATTTTAGAAAACCCTGCAGTTTTAGAAAATGCAATAGTGTTCCACTTACCTAAAATTTTCCCAAGTGTGAGAGACTTGATTGCATTCAATTCTGTGCCTGAAGACAGAATAAACTTCATTCTTTCATTCTGGTTAACCTGATAGAGTGAGGATCAAAGTAGAATAACAGAAGAGATAGTAGCCAATACTTTCAAAAAAGCAGGTAAGATCAAGGCTGAAAATAAGAAGGTCTGAGGAAAACTTTTGTTATTTATAGCAAAAAAACTCATCAGTAAATAGATTATCTGCTTCCTTAGATCACTGATTATAACTGATATTCTTAAGCATTCCACTTAATAAGTCTTTATTTATCTTAGTGATTTGGCTGATTCTTTCTTTTTCACTTCTAAGATAAATAAAAATAGCAAACCTTTAAGAATATGAAAAAGTCTATTTTCATTTTAAAAAGGCACTCAATTTTTAATTTTATAAAGATCAAATATTATATTATAAATATTCTGCCTCTCAGGGTACCTCTAGAACAACATCAAGCCAAGTACCATTACCCAAGTTCTAGCCTCAAAATACTAAATTATAACATGCAACTATTTTGAATTTAAAATTTAAAAAAAACCCCAACTTTTTGCATGTTAGTATCAACCATTAGCAAAATAAATGTTTGTATTTTATCCTGAAATTTCAATAGAAATTACAAAAAATATCCTCCTTATTAGCCACATTCCTTTGATGATGTAAAAGTGACCAAAGAAGAATTTTAAAACATACTTAAATTATTATCTGTGTGGTAATATATTTTTATTGAAGTTTAATGTGTAATTTAACTAAAATAACCAAAAATGCAGGACCCAAAACAAACAACAGCAGTCACACACATTTACCAAATTTTGAAAATTTAACCATCAAACAACTAACTGCATTTTCATATAAAATTAAGAGGTGATACAGACCTTTTGAAATAAACAAAATTAACATCAAAGAGATTGGCTAACATTAATTTTGACTGTGCACCATGAGAGTGTAAACTTTGCTTTGATTACTTGAGATATTAAGGCACATTTTATTTGGACGTAATTGCCTTGTTCCAAGTATTTACTGCATTTTGCTTGTCTACTTTTTTATGATAATCCAATTTTTCCCCCACCCCTAACAGAATTACCTCTACAAAAAGTGTTTCCTCCTCTCTATTTATCTTCACATGTTGTAGCTGTCCATCAGCCATGCTTTTGAAACTGATGCTGAAGACATCAGGATCTTGATGGCTATCTAGTTTGTACCTAATCTGTAAACTTCCTGCAGGGATAAAGAGAGCAAAGGTGTAGTACACTACATACACTATAAGCAGTACAGATCTTATACTTTATGATATATGATATACTAAAGAATAAATGATAAGCAATATATGATCCATACTGCTTCATAGGGGTACTGCAAGGGCAAAATACTTGATGTGTTTAAGGGCTTAGCCATGAGAAATGGATATAAGTGGATATAATTAAAGACAACACAATGAGTAATAGCAATGTTAGAAGCAGGATATGGTGGCAAAAAATAGTCATAAGCTGTCTCAATTTTGATTATTGACTTAAAATTTGGGCAGAAGTTTTATAATTACTTTCAAAATTCAGCTAAGAAAGACTCTTAGCTAAGAAAGAGTCTAGTTGCTCTCATAATTGTGACTTATCAAATATAACTCATAATTCTTGAATAATGTTTTCCCTGTCCAGTCCTGTAAACCTCTGACCATTTGAAAATTAAACTGAATGCAGTGTACTAACTCCTAGATCATTTTCCATTCCTTATTGTTAACTCCAAGAATACCATCTGTACACAAATAATCACACAAAGACTCAGAGGTCAATGCAGAGGCAATGTCATTTCCTGGTCAGAAATTCCTTGTCAGCTGTAGAGGACCACAAATTTCTACTCATGCTCTAGAAATGAAGGCCTATGCCAGAGCCAGGCCATTCATGAGCTACACATGTTCCATGTCCCATGACAGGGAGGATAATACAGCTATCCTATCTCCAAATACGTGTCCAGGAAAGCACAAAATCTTTCTTAAGCACAGAACCACAGTGACAGCAAAGAGTCTTTGATAAACCTGAAAATTTAACTCAGCCTGTGGGGCTATGTTATTTAAAAAAAAGACCCAGATATAGATGAAAGAATGGAAGACAAAGATCCAATGAATAGTTAATGTTCAGCTTAAATAGAAATATCAATAACTTTATGTGTATTTTTACATGTATGTGTATATATGTTTATTTTCATAGGTATATAAGTAGCTTGTTAAATAAATTCAATTAAATGACCTCTGATTAATTTGGGAAATGGATAATGCACTTTAAAAAGTGTTTTCTTTCATAATTTATTTTGAGGATGGCAATTTATAGGCCTCATGAGTAGAACACAGCTCAGATAAATTTTAATTTTCATTTCCAAACTTTAAAAGGAAAACATTTCTAAAGGATTTTCAGAAATAAATGTTTTTGAGAACATGATTTTAAAAAGTAGTAAAAGTTGAAACTATAGTAAGGAGGAATGTTTTTCATGTGGAAATAATTGCTTGATGCAGGTGAAAAGCAAAGATACCATCTAAAGAAACAACAGGACACAATACGTAGTTCGTGATTCAGGTCTGGAAACCAGAGAGAATCCAAGGTGAGAGTTATGATGTTCACTGGATGTTTCCAGACATCCAATCTGAAAACTCACCATTCCTGGTGAGAATGACCGAGAGGTACTCCTTGTAGAAGGAGCTGACATAGAGCAGTAAGCTTGGTGTCCGTGTTGTTCGAAAGGCAAATGTAATTGCTTCCCTGGCCAGCGTCATGTCAGCATAGAAAGAAGAAGCATGAGAACTGGAATTTTTAGCTAATGTGTAGTATTCTTGAAAGTTGTATGTCACAGAAGTGCCAGTCCAAAAATAGGCAGAGATCTCTGAAACAAAAAGTAATTCAATATTTAAATATAATGCAAAATAACACTAGAAACCCTTTTTTGTTGTTGGTTAGTGTTTTTTTTTTCCCTTCTGCCATACCACAGAAGAAAATAAAATGACTGTTCTGGACTATTCTAGACTACTGTGATAAAGTTAAAAAGTAAATATAAATGGAACTAACATTTAGAACTACAGAGAAATTTAAGACACAACTTGGTCTAGGGCAAAAGCTCATTTAGATGTGTGTCTTAAATATCTGTTTCATTAAGACGTATTTTTCTAGGTTATTTTCTGTTGATCATCCTAGTCCTCAAGGACAAAATATTGTCTTGTATGTATAGTGCTCCTACAAAGTGGGTGCAGCAATTTGAATCCTAACATTTAGATTAGATATTGTCTGAAACACACATGTTGTAGAAGAGACAGGTCAGGTGGGACAAAGAAAAGGAAAATAGAAAATAACTTATGCTCTTTTTGTGTATGACTCACTTATAGAGGACTGCCGTAATTCTGTGATTTCTGTTTTCTGCTGTTTTCTTCTAAAAGCAATTGTCTTAGTGCTTTGGATCACAGCTTTCACACTTTGGAGAAATTTCTTGAAGTTTCTGTAATCTGATCCAGTATTTAACAAAAGCTGACTGAAAGTTATTATTTAGGTCATCCTTAATAATTTTAGCGACAGAATCTACTGTGTCTCTACTGAATATTACAGTGTAGCTGTTAGTTCCTTCTGATGCACAGGAGGAAAACATCATTCCTCCTAATGCCATCAGTGGCATTAGACTTGCAGTTTTAGGAGCAGAAAGTCTGAAGACTTTTGGTCCCTCACTTTTGTGGTGTCAGTGATGACAGGGAAGATCTTGTGCTAATTTAGAGGAACATGAAGTTGTGGCATATAGCTGCTTAGTACTTTGCAGAATGCATTTAATACATGGAGGAAGCAAGATTTTTTTACAAATCTGAATTATATGCAAACACCACAACTTCTAGATAAGTTTCTATTTTGGAAATTCAGACTTGATGACTTTAAAAAGACTTGGAAAATGGGCTCAGTCCTGTTTGCAAAGATCTGTCTTCTTAGAGCAAAAAGTAGATTTAAGTACTTCCGTTCATTGGTTTGTTTTCCAAACTCAGTTTTGAGATTACTATTCGAAAGACAGAAATCCAAATGTTTTACCATAAAATCATAGTTCCTGGATTTACTATAGTATCAAAGAATCAAAAAAGTTGCATGAAGTTGCTGATCCTCTCAGGTAATGTTGTTCCTGCTTAAACAGTATATTTTGAAGTTACCTCTAAAAGAGCAGTGTTTAGGAAAACTTACAGATATTGCGTAAACTCTGCTGAATATTTACCTACATTATGTAAACCACATATTTTGCAAGATTTAAACATATCTTTAAGGGGATTTGAAGATCTTGATCTGGACTGTATGCTCCTGTTTTTAATAACTGATAAAGTTAAAAGAGCTGCTTGCCTTTCTTACAGAATGGCCCAGCATAGGCTGAGAAAGTGCAATCACAGGAGAATCCACTGTATTTCTCTCTACATTTGCCACCATTGTGACACAGGTTACCATAGCTGCTACAATGTCCAGGACAGCCAGGTTCAACTCCTGGTGTTATCTTTGCTCTCTCTTCCAGGTCAAGGGCCATTCCATTCAACCGTAGTGAACGGATGCATCCCAAAAATCCTTTCTGCCTGGATGCTGTTCCACCTGAAAATAAATTTACAGGAGCTTTTAAAACTTTAAAATAATTGATATGTAAAACATTCTTTATAGTTTACAGCCTATGAACAGTACATTATGACTTTCCAAAACACAAGCTTATTCATATGAAAATATTTATAAGTAGCTTTAAAAGTACATCTGATTTATGTTTTGTCAAGTAATTACAGACAGGCCCTTGAAGACTCTATCAATTCACAGGAGGGGAGGGGAGGAGGAGAGGAGTGGAGTGGAGCAGAGTATAGTTTCATTCTTTCAGCATTCTACTGACTGACAAACTGCCCTGCGTCTGTCTGTATCTTATGGTGTGAAGGACAATACCTGTATATATTTTTTTTTTTTTTCTGGAGAAGCTGGCTTGCCCATGTGAACTCTTTGCTCTGATACAAACTGGTGGGATGGCCAAGCTCAGACACTGGTGATGAAGGGAATTACATCCAGCTGACAGCCCATCACTGATTATGTTCCCCAGGGCTCAGTGCTGTAAACATAGCTCTGTCTAGCATCTTTATTGGTGATTTGGATGTGTGCACCTGCAGTAAGTTTGGAGATGATATTATGTGGGGTGGGAGTGTTGATCTGCTGAAAGGAAGGAAGGATCTACTAGGGAATCTGGACAGGCTGGATTGATGGGCTGAGGTCAGTTGTGTGATGTTCAACAAAGAATTCTGACAATTCTAAATTTTGGTTAAAAAACTTGGAGCAAGTAGGTAGGCTTGGAGAAGAGTGACTGGAAAGCTGCCTGCTGGGAAAGGATCTGGGTTTGCTGGTCAGCAGCTGAACAGAAGCCAGCTGTGCCCGGGTGGCCAGGGCTGATGGCATCCTGGCCTGTATCAGCAATATTGTGGCCAGCAGGACAGGGCAGTGATTGCCCCCTGTACTCAGCACTGGAGAGGTCACACCTGGAATGCTGTGGCAAGTTCTTGGCCCCTCACTGCAAGAAAGACACTGAGGTGCTGGAGCATGCCAGGAGACAGGGAATGGAGTGAGTAAAATGGTTAAAAGAGTAATTAAAGAGAGAAACAGCTGAGGGAACTGGGGTTGCTTGGCTTGGAGAAAAGGAGGTTCATGGGTGACCTTATAACTCTCTAAAACTGCCTGAAAGGAGAGCGTAGACAGATGGGGGTGGACCTCTTCTCCCAGGAAAATAGTGACAGAACAAGAGGTCATAATCTCAACTGTGCCAGGGCATATTCATGTTGGACATCAGGGAGAATTTCCAGGGAGAATTTTCCAGGTGAGAAGTCTCAACTCCTGGAAAAGTTCAAGAAATAACTGAATGTGGAATTTAGTGCTGTGGTTTGGTTGACAAGGATGTGTTCATCCAAAGGTTGGACTTGGTGATCTTGGAGGTTTCTTCCAAACTTAATGATTCTGTGATACCCCACAGCTGCTGTCTGTTCTGATATACTTTGTCTCAGAAGGAAGGTGTGTCTATTCAACAATAGGAAGGCTAATGCCCTTCTATGCAGAGGAATACCAGCCAGATTACATCTGATTGCCAAGCAGAGGTGATAACTATACAAAGCAATCCTAAGTGTAATGAGAGTAGTTGATTCATTTTTTTTTTTCACATATTTTCCTTATTTTTAGCTCATTTCATGATAGCTAACAATTTATTCATCTGTGTTGCTTAGCAAGGTGTGTAACCTACATACTATCTTGTCATTTGTTGCACAACCTACTGACGTTTCTTGTCCTTTGTCCTCTTTTAAAAAGTAGAAAATATTCCACAATGTGTGAGACTGTAAACTATAATTCTCATATATTACCAGTTCTTGTTTAGATTAATGCTTCCATGTGATCATCCATTTAAAGTTTTTTCAGTTTCACAGTTTGTATAATTATTGGTGTTACATGGAATATCTTGACATAGCTGTTGCTGTTTTCAGTTGCAATGGAACAAAACAGCCTGGTGGTGGCAATTTCATTTCATCCCTGTGATTAAAATGGCAAGAAATTGGAACAAGATTAAGGTGCCTTTCAATCTTAATCACTCCACATGTCTATGATTCTATGGTTTGGAGGGTTGCTTAGGTTTTAGTTCTGGTTTTTAAAAAACAGAGTGTATATAAGTTCTTTACTTCTTCACAAGAAGTAAAGATTGTTTTAGCTGAAGAAATCACAGTCCTCATGTTACTGACTGAGTAATGGGTGACTCAGGAAGGTACTAGATTTCCAAGATGACATTTAAGCAAATAGTGCTTCTGCTAATGTCATTCTAAAGACATTCTATATTTCATTATTATCTAGATCCTTTAACTAATCCCAGATCTTTGTGAATTTTCAGAGTGAAAAAAAAGGCCACAGCACCAGATGCAAAACAAAGGCACAACTTGATTACAATTATTCACCCGAACATTATCTGAAGAAAACAAGATAGAGAACTTACCTGGCTTTCTGTTGCCAGCTCCGTAAAAGAGATGGACAAGAGTATATAATTTTACTCAAATTTGTCAGATTATTTGACAAAAAAAAAATTAAAAAATTTTATTCAACGGCCAAAAAGTTGCCAGGATGTGCAACTGTTAATACAGGATTGTATTATATTTTTAGAAGGAGGATTAGAAGAACTAGAGACCAACTAACTGTTTAAATAACTTAAAAGGTCTTTAGAATTGTTGTTGCCAAAAGACTTATAGAATCAGACCATTTCACTGATCTAATTTCAAGTATTCATATAATAGCAGTTACATGGCAAGTCAAGTCAGAGAACAGCAATACAATTTACTCTAGTAGAGTAAATAGAAATCTGATCTTCGCATTAATAGATCTAGTGCATTACTGTCAATATAAACCAATCTCAAGACTTCTAACTCCACTGGAACTAATACATTGGATATATCTTTTTGTTATGGAATCAACATTTTATTTTAATCAAAATATAAAATTCTTCAATGTTTGGTCTAGTATCAATCTTCTTGCCTTGATATCTTTTGAGGCACAGGTACAATGTTTTATCAGAGTGTAGAAGACTTCTCTATTTATTTCATTTTTTCATAAGAGTTCATATTTTTTGTACCTATTGCCTTAAATATATTCCTCCCCAACAAACAACAAATAAAACTTACATTAACTTAGTATGAGTTTCTCAGAGAAGATATAAAAAAAGGCTTTTTTTTTTAAGTAAGGCCAGCTTTAAATGCTCCTATGCTATACAACATATATTTACACCAGAGATTTATAAATTCATAAGTCAATATCACATTAAGAACACTAATGTGCATGTAATGCGTAGCTCTATATAGCTTTCTGTAATAGCTAAATAAATACTAATTAATTCTATTTTACTCCATTTCTACTTATCAGTATTTTATCTAAATGACTTAATGTCATGTTTCAACCTGAGAAACTATAGACAAAGACAACAAAATTTCCTTGTTTTAGTAGATTACATCCTCTCAAAAAAGGGCACAAATCCAGATCCTTGGATCCTTGGTCCTTCAAGCAAATATCAAAATAAGCAAGAAATTTGAAATCCTGACCTGGAGTAACTATTGGCCAATGCGCTTTAAGATCTATAATCTCAAAGTAGTGAATATCTGCACAAATTTTTCACAAAGTCTTTCATATCATCATGCAAAGTGTTTTCAAAAGATCTGGTTGACAACAGTTTCTCTTTCCCTCTTCCCCCCCAGCATTTTCTTATTTTTATGATGATAATTAGGAAATATTTTTTGGATGGCCTACCTACAAAAAGCTGGCTGTTGAGTTGCAAGCGGATATGTCCATCAGGTGGAGCACTCTGAGATCTTTGAGGAAGTTGATCTATTTGTAAGGAAGCCTCTTTGACATTTCTCTCAGCCTTCACATAATGCCATTGGTTGTCATTTAAGGAATTGTGTGATTGCACTACGACTTCGCTAGGTCCGTTTCCCACGTCAAATGAAAAAGCCACTTCAGATGGAGCTAGAAAGAGGATAGGAGTAGCAGACTTTTGAATTATTTCATAATTAATTGGGTCACAAAATAATTAATAGCAGAACAAGCTACTTTAAGGTTTAACCTACTATTTCATGGGATAAGACTGACTGTTTTAGAGGAAGAATTTACTTCAGGGGCCCCTGAAGCTCATTCTTCACACTCACTGACAGCAAGAGCAATGATTTATGCACCGCATGGAAGCCAATCAGTTTGCGGACCCCTGGAGAGCAGAGTAGTCAAGAAACAGTGAAATGTGCTAGCTTTGCGATTTTGCAGTTTGGATGAAATGCATCTGTTGATTACATGCTAATTGATTGCTGTTGTTAACTGTGTTTAAATTATCACAGCTATGATCCAACCAGCATTTTCTACTGCCTATTCACTTTTGTTATATATTCATATAGTCTCAATGAACATCAGAGGGAAGATTTTGATGTAGTTTATAAAATTATGATTTAAATTGAGGTTTTCTCTGAGCAAATTTCACATTACATAGTTTCATATATTGCCTAGAAAATCATTGAATCTTTGCAGGTCAAAATAAAAAAGAGGTATATACCAGAATACTGAAGATCTGAAAATTGTGAATATTCTCTCTGAAAGTCTTTCTTTCATATATTCAATCATGTATTTAAAAAAGTATTCCCTAGACAATGGATAGCCATAAGTTTGTATTATTAAGGATTTCATTCAAGGATTTTAGAGAAGATACCATAGATCCAAAAAAATCTTCCTATTTACGTCCTTGAATTCTGACAGAAAATTAAAAAAATTAGGAAGCCAGGAATTAGATGAGCTTCAAACAACATTTTAAAGATAAATTAATTGAAGTGGAAAAAAATAGTCCATCCAGTTTTTTAACTTTCTTTTCACCTTTTAAAAATACATTAGACATTTTTAAATATTTGAATCAACTTTGGCCAACCTTTAGACTGAGTAATGTTGCACATTTGCAGTCCCTTAAGCCCTAAATCTTGTTGCTATAAAGTATTTTTCTATAATAGTTGAACCTAAGATAGCAAAGCAAAATGGGAAATACATAAACTGTTTAACTTACTAAATAAAATAAAGTGTATTGTGCAGTCTATTTATAAATGGAATGCCTTTTGTAATAAATTACCTCTTCTGCTTAGAAATCAACACTTTACAGAATAATAAGAAATAATTGCTATCTAAACACAGTTTCTCAGTAAAATAAATTAATTGTAGGATGAATGTCTTTTATTTAGAAAATGCTGAGAACTCACTCTCCCCTTATAGAGGGATAAAGAAAAAAAAAAACAAACAAAAACAATCACATAGTAGGAGAAAAAAAGCAACAGAAAATCTATGTGACTGGCTAAAAATAATTTCTACTGAAGAGCATGTAAACTTTGGTCCTGAAAGTATTTAGCAGAATGTACTATTCAGCATTGAATCAGCTTTGTTGCTTTCAACAAATATTTCTGTAGGAAATCAATAAATCAGGAAGAAGTTCAACACGCATTTATAACTTATTGCAAAACAAAAATAAGGGATCAAATATCTTATTTAGGAGAAGTATCTTCCTTTACTTGCCCTCTGTTTTAAAATACAGTTAGGATAGACAAACCATTTTTGCAAGAGTGTTCTGGAATATATGCACAGATGCACTATTGGTGTTTACAACTTCATAAAACCAGCAGAACAGCTCTAAGTTTCACATTTTGTATTATATTTCTGGATCTAATTTTTTTTTTGTTTAAAGCTAGACTTCAATGTCTAAAGATCACTACTCCATAAATAAATAAATAAAATATATGAATTTATTTAAACTAATAATAGAACATAAGTTTAGGCTGGTAATTTACATTCAAATTTATTGTAAAGGATGTGGAGTTAGATTTTGATGAAATATAATCATCTTATACCATACAAAATGCTTAAGTTGATTTTTTTTTTCTGAGAAAGGTACTCTTGATGGAAATATATATTGCTCATTTCTGATTGATATTTTCTACAATAAAAGCAGACAATTTTCCACTACAAACAATCCTCCATGTAACTTTATCTGACATACAAAAAATAATAGGTCTGACTACACAACAAATTAGGATATTCATGAGGAAATATCTCTATATTCTACACAATAGTGAGTTAATTTTGCTTTTTTAGATTATTAAATTACAGAGCAATTCACTGTTTTGCTTTCTCTCACACCTCCCTATCCATATAAAGTAATTTAAAACCCATAAGTATGCAGTGTTTTTTATGCTTGCGAATGAATGGGACAAGTGACATGAGTCTGTCTTCATATTTTTATTCCGAAGAAAAACTTACAGTCTTCTAACAAATGTCTGAATAAATTCAGTTCTCAGAACCATTCCTTTAATGCTTCCATGATTTAACTGTTTATTTTGAAAATGAAAAATAATTTATCAGACAAGACTATCATCATTTCTTCAGAGCCCCCACTGAAGTGCTGATCCAGCACATTTTCTGTATTGCATGACACTGAGTTTAAAATGCTGCTGTCCTTTAAACTGTTCAGAGAGCTTTAACAGAAGGCAGTACATACTGCCAAAAACCTGGCAAAAACAATGTTGAAAACAGGGTAGTTTTCAAATACAGCACTATAGCTTGACATGATGAAAACCAGTTACACAATATTATATAATTTAACTAACTACAGAAGGTTTGTTTCATTAACATAAGATGTTAACATGGACAACTTCCCCCCCCCCAAGAAAACAGAATATTTTATTTCTTAATAAAAAATATTTAATGTTTCTATAGAAATATTTTGCAATACAACATATATATTTATTTTCACTCTTTTCCAGAAAATACTGGATCCTGATAATAAAATTGATTTGGAAAAAAATGAGGAACTGTCTAATCCCAAGATAAAAGTTGTTCTAATGGAACAATTTTAGAGAACTCTCAGTCACAGGCAAGAAGACTTTTCAATTAATGTGGCATTTAAAATTAATTCAAAAGTCTAATGAAAAAATGCTTTATCCATTCAAATACTCTCCTCTTCAATAATGAGCGATATAACAATAATACATTGAGTCAACTAAAATAAAGGTTTCATTTTATGTTGGTCATCTTATGTTGGATTTGGTGGGATGTTTAATTCTCTCTTGCAACAAAAAATTATTTCTGCTTGTAAGTCTAAGCTTTTGTGTCTGCACAAATAAAATGAAAAAAAATAATTGAAGAAAAAAAAAAAACGAAAAAAGATAAGAATGTGTGACTTAAGATACTGTGACAAAAGAGGTCTGAGTCACACATGGTGATTTAGTGAGTCTTCCAGCAGCCACATATAATGCCTGGGATTAAAATTTGGAGGAAGAGAATTTGGAGGTAGAGATGCACTGAACACAAGAAGTAGAAACAGTTTTAGCAGTCAGGGGCTGATTGCTGTGCTCTTAGATTAAGAAACCCCTGGGGCAGAAAATTTCCTCAAATGGATACTTGTTTAGTCTCAGTGCTGCATTTTTTTCCAATAATGATAATGATCTGGCAGTAGTAGTAGAAGTAATAAAGGTAGAGAACAGTTTTTAAATACTCTCCCTTTAAATTAAATAAAATCCCATTTTTATAATAATAACAATAACACCAAAAACACCATCAGTCATGCTACTTACATTGTAACTCTATCCTTATGAAGTCTTGAATTCCCAGGTTCTCTAAAAACACTCCTGAGGATGCAATAGTTTTAAAGAAAAATGAGACATCTGCACTGAATTCTCCATGGAAGGTGGGGAAATGCAGGTAGGATGTCTCTGTGTTGAAGGAAGCTGAATTCCAAAATGTTCCTGGTTAACAGAATGAAAGGATGATAGATACACTGTTATCTAACATTTCTAGTGTAAGTTTTATAACTGATAAACAAAAGAAAATTCCCAGGTTTAAGAATGGGTTGCAGTCTTCAGAGAGTCTCACATCCACAGAAGCTTCCCTATTAGCTCATAACACAAAAATATAGGCATTATTGGGAATGTAGAATAATGTTACATCAAGAATAAACGTTCTTGGCTGAGGCAAGAAAAGAACAATTATTAGGAAACAAAATTAATTTCATCTCAGCTGGAAAGTCCGGTTATGGCCTGATATATCCTTTCATGAGGTAAGCAAACATAGCAGCTATGAATGAAGTGTTATACCTACATTAAAGTAGTGTGGCTGAGGGAGCCCTTTAGCCTGGAGAAAAAGAAGTTCATGGGGACCTTATTGTTCTCTGCAACTGCCTGAAAGGAGGGGGTAGTGAGGCAGAGTCCAGTGTCTTCTCCCAGTTTACAAGTGACAGGATGTTCAGAAGAAATGGCCTCAGGTTTAGATTAAATATGATTTTTTTTTTTTTTCCACTGAAAGGGTTGTAAAGCATTGTAACAGACTTCCCAGAGTGGATGAAACTCTTCGAAAAACTTGTAGAAATGGCACTTGAGGTCATGGTTCAACAGTGAACATGGGGGTGGTGCAAGGCTGACAGTTAAGACCTTTTATCTTAAAGATCTTTTCTAACCTCTACAACTCTAGTATTAGTTAGTAAAAGCAATAACTATGAGAGTTGTTAAGTATTTATTTTACATAACAAGGAAAAGAGAATTGTTATCATTGTAGTCCAGTGAAATTTACCATATATCTCAAAGATGCAGCACAAATATCTCCTGTGGAAGAAATAAATTGCAAAATTTAATAAATTAGCATAGATATTTTCCGGTTTTATTTCTTTTTATGTAAGCATTCAATCATAATTTGCAAGGTTTTTTTACTAATTTTTAAAATGCTGATGTTAAATCTCTAATATCACCCTCTCCTAATAAGGACAAAATCTTCATTTATGGTGTTCAACTCAAAGTACCTTGTTAATATTGCTGAATCCTTACAGATATATCAGTATTTCTTTACTAAACTATATTGCTTTCTAAACCAAATAAGACATTCAATACTTTCTTATCTAATTGATCAAGCCCACTGCATATCCTCCTGATAATGTTGTGATCTCAGTCTAACAGTTATGCAGAACTGTAATTTTTGACCCAGTCACATTCTGCTTTTAGGATAGGGAAGGGGGAATAAAAAAATTTTGAAAATTTCTTTCTTCCCTGCAAAATCAAACCCTATAATACAGTGTATACAGAGGCCTAACCCACAGCTAGTGAAGTAAAATTAAAGTCCATTCCCTTATTCCAGCAGAGGAATGAGTTAGCATTTTTGGCAGGGTTTGGAACCCAAACCTAGAAAACCCTAGAAAAGCAGCATGGCAGGATTTTCACACATATTCTGGCAATTTCTCATCGTGACTCTTGACACTCAGGAGTACTGCCAGGTATCACAAGTCAAAACAGCCACTGGGACAATATTTACATGGTAAAACAGCTGTGAACAGATGGCTGGGGCTGAGAGGGGAGCACACAATTTTTCACCTTGCTCTCCTGTGCTGCCTTATGGGCTTCTTGAAGTTACCAACCTATGGAAAGTGCCAGAAAAAAGCAGCAGGTTTCAAAATATTGGCATCAATTTTCAGCCCATGTTCCTCAACTGTGTCAGGTCATAGCTCCCACAGAGCCAACTTCACAATTGTTGTGACTAACAGCTGTGTATCACAGCTATTTAAAAATAATGGGCTGGCTGTTACCAGTGATTCAAATACAATAGGAAATTTAATACTGTAATTTATACAAAATTGTTACAACATTGCCAGCAATTAGAAGAGAGGCAATAGGGGTAGTAACAGTCCAGTAAAGTAATGCTACAATTAGCTTCAATTAAGCATTTGAATGATATTTGTAAATCAAAATTGAGTCCTTGGGGGAGGGCAGGGATATTTTTTTTCCCTCTCTTAATTTAGTGCCTTTTCTTGTCTAACTGTTCTTTTTCTCAGCTCTGAAAACTGTGTAATTTATGAATTTAAAGACACTCTATCAATAAAACAGCTTAAATATAGGCTTAAGAAAAGTATATTACAAAGTATCATATATTGTTGTAAATCAGGGTGGGAAAAGAATTCCTTAGCTTTACAGCATCTGGCTCACAGTGTCCCATTTAGTTTTCTGGAACTGCCAACCACCATTTGGTTAGGAAATCAATATTATTTAGCATTTTATCTAAGCTGTAAGACTGCAGTCTTTCTATGAGTAAAATGAAGGAATGTATTATTCTTATAAATTATCCATGAAGTTATTTTTATTGAAAAAATATACATATGTCTTTGGAATATGTCAACTAGCCTTACAAACCTGAAATTATAAAACAAAAAAAAAAAAGGGGGGGGAAATATTAACAAGACAGATAAATTAGCTTTCTCAAAACAATCATGCAATTGCAATTTGCTTCACTCTTCAAGTTCCTACTCAAAACTGAAATCTGTTCACCATTTGTATCAATTCCTTGTGATATCTCTAACAGTTGCATTTTCATTCTGTCAGGAGGGACATTGAATGCTGAAGCAGAGAAAAGAAAGATCTTATGTTGCCAAACACTATATTTTGTACTTTGAGGTTTTTTTAACTGTAAGATCTATAGATAAAAGACCAGAAGGGAGAACTGCGATCATCTAGTTCAATGTCTGATATAACATGGACTATATAAATTCCCTGAATGTGTTCTTGTCTAAAAAATGTCAGTTTATGGAGAATTCACAAATGCTTTGACTGTCAGTTTGTGCTTATGTATGTATTCACAGAGAGTGTAGCTTCAAATCCCAAACATTAAATAATTTTCTGATTTTATTTCCTGCTTTCAAGAATATTATTTGACATTTCTTCTTCTATGAAACTCCTTTTAACACACCACCTCAGATAATGCCCAAATTCAGCAAAGAAATTTAAATGCTTTCACTGAAAAATGAACCTCAACTTCTTTAATGTTATACTTTAACCTTACAGTCTCTTCATGTATGTAAAATGGTAATCACAGACTTGTATTAAACCTATTGATTATGCAGGAAGCTGCAAAGCAGACCAAAACAATGTTGATTAGACCGAGGTTAGGACAAATATGAATTAATAATAATTTATATAATGCTAAATAAGGGGGAATAGTTGAACACACGGTTTACAAATACTTCTGCTATTGAAAATGAAAGACATGACCTGATTTCTTAAGGTACTGAAGAGAGATGAAACAGATTTTTTTTTCTTGCTAAATTAGAAATTTACTGCACTGCTTTAATGAAGGTATCATAAAGTTAGTCTCTGTTACATTCAAAGTTCACACTATTTATTTCTTCATTTAAATGTCAGAGAACTCACATTGAATGGATTATCTGCTTGCATTTACATGCTAACATTGCTATTTTGCAGTTGAATTTACTTTTTTTTTATTCAGCCAAGTAAACAAGACTCCATCAAATACCTTATTAGAGTCTATTTGTGTCTTCACCAGTACTACCTTTATCTTTATTAATGTAAATTCCTGCTGAATTATATATTATCTTTACAATGCATTATAGTATCTTTATATTATTTTTTATTAATATCTATATCATCAATTTTGGTTTTTTACCCAAGAATTCGTCAGATTATAATCACCCATTTAATACACATAATTTATGTACATTAGCTATATTACAGTATTTTGGATTTTTTTTTATGTCCTCACTAGATATTCATAGTAATAAATCAGAATATGTCCACTGAGCTTTTGTAATGAAAAGAACAAGAATAAAAAACACTCAACACAGAAGGCTGTTTTTTTTTTTTTCAATCTACTCCCATCAACTGACTCTATTGGAATTTATTCAACATCTAGCTTTTACTTCAATAATGACAAAAATAATTAAGATAACTCTTTCCTTTTTTTTCATGAAGACCATAGAATTTCTATCTATTAATGTACCAAAGATTTTGTTCATTCCCATATGCTTCAAAATCTTTCCTGTTACCCTGCTCAGTGTATATACATTATTCTTAACTTTCACTATATTTAGATGTATTTTTCAGTCTAATACCAGCAGTCATACCATACAATTTATTAAACATATTATAGAGAAGAAGAAGAATTATAGAAATGAATCAGTAATAAATAATTTTGTACATTTTGAAGGTGACAGAAAACTGTAAGTGTTACTTACATGTGTGGTGTTAGTGTCACCAAATACTACTGACTAATGTTTTTTAAATGGCCGTATTCTTCTACAATATCTTTAGTACTTTCATTGTACCATGGCATCTTACAAACATAGGGAGGTAACTTTATCAAAATGCTGAAAAAACAAATAACATTTGAATGAAATTTTAAAAAACTTTTGTAAAATAGACTGCATTTATATTTATATTACTTTTGGATTTTTTTTTTCCTTACAGAAGGCTACTCTTTCCTGCCTTGCTCTGACTAATATGGTTTGGTTTCCTTGTAAGTAACATACTTCCTTGAAGAGATCAATCCTTAAAACCTAAAATAAAGAAGTCAAGTACAGAAATGGAATGTTAAATAAAAGAGTGAAAAAAAAATATGTAACAATAGCCAATTTCTGCTGGACTGCATTGGATACATGGCTTTTCAGAAGCACTCAAATAAGTAAATCTAAATGGAAAGTTAGTCAGTGGGGTGCATGGTTTATGGCAATTCAATTCAACCAAATATTCATGGTTTTACTTTATTTTGCCCATTCATTTTCCTCCCAGGTAACTTTCCCATAAGGAATAGATTATTGATGGAATAAGAATTTATGATCTTTTAGATTTGAGTCATTTAATGAAGTACTGAAGGTATTATAAATATCAGTAAAAATTCTCCTCCATGTTTTTACATGGTATGCTAGTCAGTTATTCTGAAAAAACTTACGTCTGTCAGATAGAAGAGAAACCTATTTAATAAAGGATGTCTCCTGTGAAATACAATTGTATCATTTAGTTCTGGAGAGTGACAGAAGCAAAAATTGTAATGATCTCTTTGAAGAATATTCAAATCACACTGTGAGTCCAAAAATATCTATTCTTTCTTTTTTGACAGCACTTCTGAAAAATGGGTATTTGCCACTAGACCTTTTTTTCATTCTTCACCTATCCAAAGAAAAACATCATTAAAAGTGCATTTAATTAGTCCCTCATGGGTGTCAGCAACCTCAGATTGGGAAAAAAAGTATTAATAATGGTCTTCTTTCCTTTTGCAGCTTCAAATTGTGAGAAGCAGTGGCCTGGCAAGAGTGTGAACTTCATCAGTTTTGTCTGGTGTGAAAATTAATATGTAGAACTCAGAAATTACTGCAAGTCATAGCTCTTTATGTTAACTGTAAAATTGAATATAAAAGAAAATGTCCACTACAAAATTCTCTGATGACACACAACGACCGTTGGAAGAAAGTCTATGAAGTCCTGTACTCAGTATTTATTATAACACATAATATACATATAATATAATTTCATAATATGGGTAATATATCATATATTATACATTATAAAAATATTTTTAATACATATATATATATATATAACATGCCACAAATTATATAATAACTCGTGTTTAGATATTTTATTATATACACTCAGGATTTGTTGTTTTCTTAACACTTTGGGTTATGCCAAAATATATTACATAACTATTTTCCTTCAGAAATTTTGTTTTCTCAAATTTTAGTTCTTACCTCCTTAAATACATGTCTTCTTGTACTGTCTTTATGATGTAAATGACTAAGAATAATGTATTATTTAACAATCAATGTTCTTATTTCAAGGTTTTTCTACATTTTGACCATGAACTGTTATAGTCTAAAATCTTTTCACCAAGTTGTTTCAGTTCAAAATTGCTTTTTTTTTTGAAGTCAAATATTATAATGTTGTATGGCATTAGATGAATATTTCTCTGACATTCACACTGAGTTCTTGTGCTTGTTCTCAATGATATTTTACAATTCTCTACCATAGCTTGTCTAGAAATACTGTGATCATTCATCAGTGTGAAATATTGCAGCAATTCAATCACCCAGACTAAGCAAACATCAAATGAAGTCAGGGAGGTCAATAGGAGTCAAAACTGTCTGTAAGTTTTAGAGATTACTCCTGGGAAGCTGGTTGACTTCCATGTTTTAAGATTTGTCACGTCTGAGGTCAGGTTATGTAATTAATATTTGGGAACTTTGTGAGTAGTGGAATTGAAATTCTTCCCCCCAGTAATTAGAACTACACAAGCTCTAAGTGTTTTTTTTCATTGCTGTCCTTGTCACTCGCTTCACTGTCTGTGGCCACAATGGAGATCTGCTGTGCCACAGGTTGGGTTAATCCTTCTTTTTGACGTTTGTAAGAGAGGACCTGCATTGGGCTTCCAATTTCCTTTCCCGTAGCAAAGGAAAACATTAATAAGCAGGGGCAAATATTGCAGAGGCCACCAGAACGTTCAGGTCTGGAGCACCTGTCCTGCCCTTCAGGCAGGAGGAACAGGGCTGCTTCAACCTGGGGAAGGAAAAGGTTTTCTGGGGAACCTAATAGCAGACTACAAAACCTAAGGGGAAATCATCAAAGAGACAGATACAGGGTCTTTGCATTGATGTAAGGGCTGAGTATAAAATACAGTGGTTATGGTGAAAGCACAGAGTTTCAGGCTTAATAAAAATAAAAATAAATTCTCACTGAGGACAGCCGAGCAGCGGTAGAAGCTGCCTAGAGAAGCAGTGCAGACTCCATCCTTGGATGCTTCAAACACCCATTTGACAAAGCACTGAGAGACCAGCGACCTCAACTCATGGCTAATCTTGCTGTCAGCAGGAGACCTCTGTAGGTCCTATCATTCGGAATTATACCATAATACTATATCATAGCCCCATGATATGTAGGACAAATGATCAGTTCACAATCAGCTGTCAGACTAGCGAAATGAAAGAACCTGACGGGATTTTTAAGTCTTATGAATTTTCATAAGAAAATTAGAATGCAGTGCTGAAACACACATCTGTTAACAAATCTTCCAGGCATAATTACCCTGAAAAGACAGAGATGACACAAAAAAATTAATAGATACTAATTCATATGTTTTTATCTATGTGCTTTTCTGAGTGCACTTAAAAGTATAAATCAGTACTTTACTGATATTTCTCTTACTCATATAAATTGAAAAAAACTGAAAACCAAACATGACATCATATGATTAAGGAGGAAAAACACATAAAGAATGAAAATATCTCTAAATAATGTACCTATTATATATTAAATATGTTATAGATAACAGGTAAGTTAGTGAAAACTCATAACAAGATTTAAGGAAATTAACCTGACTGAATATCATAATAACTTACTCAACTGTATATCAAATATTGCCTATCCAACTCTTGAATTCTTTGGGCTTGTTTACAGCATTTCTTCTCCTAATTCCTAATTTTTGATTACAGACAGCAGCAGACATAGAATTTTGTGCAATAGGTTGCTATTGAGCATAAGCCAAACACATTCTTTTTTCCACTGAATAGAAAATTTTAAAACAGAAATATCACCACTAATCTTCAATAACATTTTGCACAAGCATATTATTCTGGTTACCACATATATGTATTCAGAATGTAAATCTAGAATTATTATTAAATTTGTAATATTTAAATTCCTACATGTAGTTGAAAATTTGCATGTAGATATTGCATACACTGAATTACTCTCCTATAGTATTGTTTTCCTAGATTCATAAAAATTCAGAGAACATAATATATGTAATATTTCGTGATGGATGCATACACAGTTAGTGAATGGTATGTCCCCATGATATGGTAACCAGCTACAGACTCCCCTTCATGCAATGATTTATTCATGATTTCATTCCAGTTGGGTAAACCAAAATATCTGTTTGAAATTATCATAAAACTTTCTGTTTTCACTATTGATGTATATAATGAAAAATAAATGTTTAGTATTTCTATGGTTTGCACTGGATGATGGCAAGGTTTTTTTTTTCTAATTCCAAAAAGATCTGGCTGAGGTTGTTATAGAAGTTTATCTTAGGTTTGTAACAAATAACATTTAAAAGTTATTGCAGGAAAAATGCATCACTGTTTAGCAAGACTCTTCAGTAGTTACTTACTATCACCACGGCAAAGCAAAGGCCCCAGTTTGTAAGCAGCTTCCGAGTTTGGTCTGTCAGTATCTGTGATCACAATTTCAGTTACTGGTAGATGGTCCTTGTAGGAGAGGAAGCCAGTATAATTTGTCCTGAAAAGGTAAAATGAAAGCCACAGATTCTTCCAAGTCTTTCCAATAAATATTTCATTATCATTGACACATTCCCAAGGAAAAGGAAAGAAACTTAAAAAAAAAGAAAAAGGCTGCCTAAATATGTGTGTATGTATATATATATATATGATACAAAAAACTGTAAATAGATACATATGCTTTGGAGTTGATATTGGGCTCATTTGACACGACTAAAAGAATTTCACTGGAAGTGGGTAGTTTTGTGTTTGTTTTATGGTTACAACCATAAAACAACTGTGAGAAAATAAATGACCACTTAACTGGCTGCCTAAGTCAATGAATTTGCTCAAGTCAAATTTGCAAATGAATTTTATGTTGCTGAAGACATACTGTATCTTTAATTGACTCTGTCATCAATATGGGATATTTAATGGCTTAACATAATTTTCAAGTAAGTCAAAGTTTTCCCCACCTTGACAAGTTTTAAAAAAATCCAAGTAGAAAAGTATAAAGTCATGCTGACTACAGGAAAAACAGTATATACTACAACTGTGAAACTAACAGAAAAGAAAGTAAGCAATATTTGCACTCTGAGCACACATGTAGTACTTGTAATATTAGACCCAGTTCCTTGTTTAAAATCTTTGTTGACTTAGTGCCAGAACTCATTTTTAAATTTCATAACCAGTTTTGGCCCTAAAATTCTTCTCTCTAAGTCCATGGAAATGCTCAGTTACTCAGGACTGTTCTGGAATATTCAATCTGTCCATTCAGTCCATTCATGGTTTAGTCTTCTCTTTAAGGGCAAAGCAAATAGTTCAGAATAAAAAGCATAAACTCCTCACGTTTGATAAAATTAGTGACTTTTTTCCCCTCCCCTCTCCCTTTCCTATCATCATCATCATCTTTCTTCTGAAAAAAACAATTTCTGTTCATCTATTTTGGAGCACAGTGCAAACAAATGGACATTTTTTTAGCAAACTGTTTTGCTTAACTGAGGAATGCAAAACATGTGGTTTTTTTAATATTTATTTTTCATGAGGTGCAATATTGCAGGTTTTTAATTTAGAATTGAAAGAAAATCCCTCAAAAAACCAGAAGTGTTTGCTTCAGTAAAATGATGCTGTAAACAAAAGGAAACTGAATAGAAATTATCTTCTGTGGAGGGGATCTTCAAATTTTACATTTTTAGGACCAGATTAAAAAAAAAAAATCTTTCTGTTCTAGGGTTCCAAAGACTTAAAGTTTTTGGTTATTCAAATAAGGAGTGGAGAGCTAAATCTATGTCCAGTGCATAAAATAAGACAGATTTCACTATAAAAGTAGACTGTCAAAACCAGTGTTTCAAAATCATGGTGTGTAATTTGTTCTCTGTGCTCAAAATGCATCTCAAGTATAGCTTCTACCTACTTTGTCCACCCAGTTAACAGTATCTAGTCAACTGATCCGAAACTTTAGTCTCTAGGAAACCAAATACAATGCTATCCACAAGTACCAAAATTAGTGTACACATAATCGCTGTAACATGGGAGTCACTGGGAAGAATCTCAACTTATAAATGTCAAAAGTGAATGCAAACAGAAATATAAACTCAGAGTCATTATATTTGCATTTTAATACACTCATAAACATCTTAGCAACTTACTGGAAGTGGATGTGCATGTGAAGATATGCACATAATCCTCTCATCTACTGTATTTACAAATATATTACCATTAAAAATTAACCTATATATATGAGCATGGATTGAATTAATGACAAAACTGAGCAAGAATATTTTACGTGTCTGAGCAATGGTATTAATTTTTTTCTCAAAATGCCTTCATTTTTTAACACCTTATTTTTGTGTTAGAAGTTAATATTGTTTTTATTTTCATACAGCATAATAACAGGGAAATTCTTAGTGTTATATTTGTTTCTCTAGTCTCTTTATTGGAATAAATGTTGCAGATATCAACCTGTGAATTTTACTGCAATAGTAAATTATTTTCTCCAGAAATCTTTGAAGCTTGTGAAGAATTATTCTTCCATCAACTCTTTCTTGCACTTTCATTTCTCTGTCTGTTGAATTCCCTGCTCATGTTAAGGAAACAAGCATTTTCCAACCCAACTCACTAGTAGCTCCTTTAAAGGAAGAGTGGCCCTTCAGAAGAAAAAAAAAATGTATTGCTTGATTTTTTTAAATGCATATATTAATGTACTGAACTTGATTTATTTAAGTTAAATTGACTTCATAATTTTAAGACCATAAAAGTTTCTTTAACAGAAAAGATTTCATTTGAAAAGTCTTTCTGCTTTATCAAATCCTGTGCTGCATTGGAGCTATTGTTGAGAACGATGTATCTGATCCTACTAAATGAAAAGTCAGGTTCAGATCTGACACTACAACAATAACTCATTCTTTATATTATTTATGTGAAATTTATTGTAAATTGCACCAGAGAATTTTAGGCACAATTGGAATATGTACACTCTAGAAATCCATTTATTCTCTTTGAATAGGACTCCATATGAGTGCTTTGCTTCATTGAAAGCAAGAGTACTAAGTTTCTTTATCTATGTTGTAGATGGAAAAAAAAAAGGATCTAAAAAGTCTAAACATTAAAGTGTAGTTATGAATTATGCTAAAAATTAACTTTTTTCACAGACCATTTTATTTTAACTTTAATTATGTTCAGTAGTCTAAAACCAACTGAAGTTGTGCTAAAGAACTATTATCTCAATTTATAACATGCAATATACTAAAGACTAGAAAGTATCTGTAAAATTAAATCTTCCCCAAAATTAAGAGTGAAAGAATTTGCAATAATACTTCATGTATATAGTAATAACTTTGTGAAAAATTATGTTCTATAACAAGGGATCAGACGACACTATGGCAACTTAGATTTCCAACTGCCTTGGTATTGTAAATGCACTACGGCATGTATATTTTCTTTATTTACTTTTAACAAAAAAAGTATTGCAAATAATGAACAGTAAAAAGTCACCATTCATCTCTGTCTGCATCACAGTTGCAGTAATGCTGGGAATCAATGCAGCTTCCCTGCAGTCCACAAGCACATTTTTGTACAGCAGGCAAGGAACCTCCCCAGTAAGTATGAGTTTCATTGGTTCTTCCAATCCACCAGCTCAGTGGCATCCCATCTAAAAAGGTTAGAGAAAAATCAATGCCCAGTCTTGTCTCCTACTTCTCTCAGCTTTCCCATACAAATAATTTTCAAAAAGATAAAGAAGACAAAAAACCCTGCTGAAATCTAAAACCTTTAAATGACCAGGAAAAATAAATTTCCACCTTTACTCGATAAGTAATTATTCATTTTAATACTTCGTTATCATGTATTAAGTGACTGTCGCAGATTTTTGCTTGCATTAGTAGAAAAGAGAACTCACGGTACCTAATTCAGCCAGCCATGATATTAGAATAATTTATCTTAAGCAGTCAATTTATATAATTCATTCTAAAATGATCCATGAAAACGGAGATATAATCATCCTAAAAATCAGGATAGTTTATATTCCCTAGTAAAGATCAATTTCAGATGTTGGAACCACCAGAAATGGAATGAGGGAAGTCACAGAAATGCCCTCATCCCACTACCAAGAGTACTACTATCCATATCTGTGATGAGCTTTAAGCAGCTGGGTAGCAGTGTTAATCAAAAATGCCCAAAGACAGTTGTTAGGTCATGGACAGCAAATTCAGAACTTATGTACTCAGTGACAACAGAAATCATGTTAATGGTGATTTCATAATAAAACTGATATATCTGATCAGCAGTAGTGAGATTGCCCAAGACTATTACATCTCTCTGTGGTGCATCCAGTCAGCATTGTTTGTAGCAAAATGATAAAACTTAGTTTTTTAATGTTACAGTGCTGCAGAATAAGCTAAAAGATATTGCCAAGCAAGCATAGCAACGGAAGAAATATCTACAGAACACATGATAGCTAAATGATATGAAGCATAAAGATAAACCATCTCAAATGAGATGGAAGAAGGGTGATGGATTCATGAAAGTGAAGGCATGAGAAGCAGCCAAGTACTGTTAAACTATAGAATTTCTTACAGATGCATTTTTTTTTTTGCTTTGGCTGGAGTTCCATCTTCAGCACCCGGCCTCCATGAAAAAGCTGGAATTTATTCTACTCTCAACTTTGCTTACAAGTGCCACTGCTTATTAAACCTCACTGTTAGATAAGACCTCTTTACACTGACAATCTTTCAGATCGCTAACATATTGACTGCATTCATTACCACACAACTGTCAGCCCAGCAGGCCAAAAAACAGTGTGAGCAGTTTTTCGAAAAGTCAAGCTTGCATAATGGCATCAATGTCCAATATCAGTGTTTGTGTTTGCAAACTATCACAGGAGGAAGAAAACCCAGAGACTATGTATAAATAATTTATCAGACAACACTTTAAAAATGTTCTAGCAACTAAGACTGTAAAAAGAAGAATATTTCTGCTGCTTTAACAGCGTGCCTTAGGCTTATATTGTAGTAATGAATTAGCATTCCCAATGTTTCTCTAGGGACATTGGGGTATATTTTAGAGCTGGTCTCAGTTATTTGTTCATACAGTAAGGTGAGGAGAGAGTATTTAGTGAAATGCTGCAAGTTCATACTGATTAGCCCAGATTTTTTTCTCTGCCTTGGCAGAAAGTACTCCTAGGCAAAACAAAGCCATTAATTAAAATGGTTAGAGATTTCTTCATAATGATCACATAAATGTATTAACCAATGACTTCCTTAATGAGAACATTTGCAAATGCTATCCAGGCTGATTGAATACAATGCATTCCTAAAATACAATAAGTTAAGAATTACTGTATGTTCCAAAAAATGGACTGTATGTTCCAAAAAATATATTATGTAACCATCATCAAATTTTCTATTTCTCAGGTATACCTAGTGAAGATTATGAACAGCAGAAATGAGAGTGATTAAACTGAGTTTAAAAAAATAATGATTTTAGAAAATTTGTAGAAGTCTCACATGAGTCTCTTTCACACCTATTCATTCTTAACATTCAAAACTAAATTTTAAATCACAAATGATTACACACTTTTAAAATATTTATTTTAGCACATTTATGTGCATATTATAAATATGTAGCTATATGTAATATAAACAGCATAACAATACAGATAGTGAATTATTTAAGTACATTTACATGCAATCTCCCAGGACAAAAAAAAAAAAAAGGTCTTTAAGCTTTCTGCTTGAGGCAAACCAGGCTTTTGAACATCTAAACATAGCTTTAATCTGGAGCCTACAGTAAAAAGAAGGTTCAATGGGACACCTTAAGCAGCAGGTTTACTTTTTTTGCTGTGGAGGTATTTTCAAACAGATGTTCTTTCAAGAGCAAACACCAGCCTAAGAAGCCCAGAGATGCCCATGCCATAATTAGGGAGAAAGAATGTATAAAGAAAGAGCTTAGACACAGAACTAGAGAGGGATTTACACAGAGGCATTCTTTCTGCTTAGTAGGAAAGAATGCCAAGGAATAAATTTTTAGCATCTTAAGAGTTTCTGGTGCACAAGCCAAAAAATTTCACTTATTTTTTTTTAAAAAAGCAAACAATGAGAATTTTACTTCCACATTATTTGGGGTGCTTAGATGCTCAGAGTAAAGTCTTTTAACACCCTCTCTGTGTCAATAAGTGTTAAAATTTAAATAGACTACGTAACTTCACTTTTCTTTAAGTAGATCAGACCTTTCTTTATTTCTTAAGGCAATTATAATTTTGTCAATAATCTACATTTTAAATACTGAGCTTTATAAGAATGTTTATACTGAATAGTGGAAATTCAATGTTATTGATGTATTTTGTCAAGTACTCACAATACGCACATTAAGTGCACACATTAACTTCTGCTGTATCTACACACTAATTTGTGCTCTTTAAGAAAATATTTCCTCAGTAATAATTTAATTCCTTCTTTAAAATTAAAAAAAATCTTGGAATATCAAAGAAGATGGGATCTTGATAACAATCTCTGTTAATTTAAAAGTCTTATGAGAGAAATTAACTTGTGAATTTCATTCTCTGAAAGAAAATCATTATAAATCGACATTTGCATTTTCCTGGTTCAAATATCTCTTGGCAACTTATAGAATCTGAGAACTCAATATTTGAAGTAGTTTAAACTCCATAGTAGCAAAATGCCACAGCCTTGTTAAAAATAAATAAATTTAGCTGCAAATAAAATACAAGGCATGATGCAAGATAGTAAGATTTGTCTGCTTTACTTACCTGACTTATCTAAAAGCCTTGACTTTTTGCAGTAGTAAGCCAGCTCCTGTTCACAGTGATCTGCAAGGTTTATTGTAGCCTGAAGCTGGTCTAGGCTGGCAGAGTACTTGAAAAACACAGTGTGTGGATTCTCTCGATTAGCACTTTTAACTCTGGTTAGGTTGGTGCTGTTATGCTGTATAATTGTCCATGTTGCATCTTTCAAAACACACATGAAAAGTAATAAAGAATCAGAGCGTTGTACAAGTTAGTTAGGGAAAGAGCATGTATGATGAAATCAGCCAAACTTCAAGATAAATTCTTTGATCACAGAAAGCCCTTTGGAGCCCATGAAACAGACATAAATCATTGACCAGAAATTAAAACAATTATTAATTGTTTCTATTCATAGGTAGATCATTGGGCCATGATATTCAGATATTCAAATAGTTAGGACTATTCAATAAGGAAAGAATGTGTGATGACACCCAAATATTTCTCTCAGAAATAAAATATTGTTTACTTGGTAAATTGCAATGAAATATTAGAAGGAGAAAAACACTACTGTTACTTTCCACAGACTTAAATAATGCATAAAATAACATTAATTATATCCTAGAATCTACCTATATTACATACATTCTTATAGCTTGAATTAATTTATTCTGTATGAGAAAATGGCCTACAGGCCTTTTCTATTATACAAAGAAACAGAAGTATCCTGTACATACTGTGTTTACTATAAAACTACGATTACATAAAGGTGAATTATTACTGCCACATAAAATGAAGTAGTAGGCATGGTGAGGGCTCGTATAATTCTTCTGTTTTATATTTTTGCCAAGATCATTCATCTGTGAATAGGAAAAAAATTAGCTTATTCGGTTTTAACTCGCACTTTCAAAACCTGTAACTCTCACTTTTCTGACCAAAACCCCCTTCAAGGTAGGGGTGAGAAGACTTCCAGTTCAAGCCCATCTGAGATAGTCGAGTTCAGATTCATGGTCATTGTATTTTTGCATATTTATGGCCAGCGTAATTTGGAAAAAACATGATAAATATTTTTTTTCTAAATTTTAGTATTGATATAATATTTCAAATATTCTAATAGTATTATTCTATCTAGACCTGCATTTTATTTCATCAGCTGCCTATAGACCACACATGGCAGATCATATAAAAATATCCATAAAAAAGAGAGAATAATGGTGACTTAAACATAAGTAACTGTCAGAAAATCAAAATTAAATATTTTTTTCTAATTATAAAATTTTATTAAGGATGTAATTAGACTGTCAAAAACCAGATAGCTAGAAATACAAATTAAAATTTTGGTTCCTTTGTTTGTTTTGGGTGCTGTTTTCTGTGGTTGCGGGGTTTTTTGCTAGATACAGACACAAACACATTTAAACATTACATTGAACCTAGAGATGAAGACAAGCAGTTTGGCTATTCAACTCATTGTCACACTCCCAAAATTACACAAAAAGGAAAAAGAGATAACTGCAAAGTTTGTAGAATTTTATTTGACAGTGTGAACTGTAGGCTTTTGATTCTGAAACTGATCTCCAAGAATAAAATCAGGAAATGGCACCTCCCTCCCAGCTGCCTGAAAACAGAGCCCCCTGAATGTCAAAGGCAAGGCAGTGCAGAAAGAAATGTGGGCATCTGCCTTCCCTGCCTCTGGTGAAAAAAGGGAATACCAGTCATGAGGAAACTGGGAACAAAACAAATATAGAAGATTCATCCTGTCAGAATGCATCTTGAGATGAAGAACTGATCAATGATGTTTGCTTAATGTGGTGAATAAGGAGTGACTGAGGAAAACAGGAACAGCTGTTCATGGACACACAAGGATAAATCAGACACTACACTGTACCTTGGAGAGTTATACCCACTTAGAAAAATTGTCATCTTTCTGCCATGATTCTTTGGTCTCTTTTAGTCTCACAGGACACTAGAATATTTATTTTTAAAAGCCTGTGGCAGTCTGAGGCATGATTATTGTGAGCAAGCTCAGTTCAGTGTAGAAGTCAAAGTCAGGAGCTGACATGGTGAGACTAGGTAAATTGCTCAAGTCAACATCAAAATCTTACTATAAGGTTTCTAAGTCAAGTTCTCTACACTTAGGGCATATCTAGCCCTAGACAGTTCAAATCTAGCTTATTCATGTATTCTTTTAAACAGTTATAACCCTGTAAAAAGACATTTTTGTCAAACAAAACAGTAAAATGTTCCAGTCATTTTGGCTGGAAAGCATTTCAAATAAAAGGAGTTAAGTAAACAGTAAAGGAGACAGCCATAAATCGAGTAACAATAAATTCCAAATAGCCATTTAAATTTAAGAATAGTTGAAAGGACATATACCAATATACCACATACCATACAGAGATAACATCAACAGCTTTGTTACAAAGCAGTCCAAAAAGAGATTCTGACATCTAAAGCTTCTAGTTATACACATGGTCAGATTTAAAGAACAGGTTGCAGAAGGGCAACAGGGTGTCCAAAGGTGAGGCTGCAAGAGTCCCACTGGTTGCATTTGTATTCTACAAAAGATCACATTGCAGCTTGAAAGATGAAGTTTAATATCAATATTCCTCCCAACAAAGGCCAGATCTAAATCAAAATTTTTCAGGAGGCTATTGGGGAAAGTCAGAAAATTTCTCATAAAACATTTCTCCTTTTCTTAAGTACCCTCAAGAGAGTGCAACTTCAGTGAAAACAAAACGGCTCCCCAAAAATGAACTAGTATGACGTTGTCTCCCTATGGAACACATGCCCCATTTACACAAAGCATAACAGGAATGCTGTGTTAGCTTCACAGCCTGAATCCTTTTATAATTCTAATTTTTATGCCTAATTATTTGCCCAATATCCTGAGCTAAGGAGTCACCTTCATTTGGTTGTTCATGTTTACATTAAATTCACAAACTGCAGAGACGTCTTACTTGATAACTCGTGTTTCAATATAATGAGCATGCACACAGTCACAGCTGTAAGTTAAGGAAGTTTATCACCTCACCTGTCATATTGCAGTATACGAGAAATGGTCCCAAGGGGCCACTTCCATCTGAATCAATATTGTAAAAGCCTGAAGTGTTCCCTCTGTGCTTATAGGCTTCACATGATTGCTCATAGATGGCTGTAAAAGAACATACTCCATCACAAATGTAATGGCATGATTTTACATTTTATTCAGGGAATTTAAAAAAAGAAATGTGCATGACCCTTGACATTGGCAAAAGAAAAATTCATGCACTCAAAACTATGCCTTTATCAGAAATTGTTATGCATATTTGGTTTTATTTATTGTGGAGATCACAAGGTGCATTTTTAAGCATTTTGTTCTGTGATTCCAGCTCAAAACCACTGAGAGAAAGACACAAAATATGGGCAAGTAAATGCTTGAAAAATTGCTGAAAAATGCTAGAATGCCAAGGGAATTACTTAGACACTGGTAATCTGATTTTTAGGAAACCCCCATTAACTATCTCAACCAAGTCAGATTTTTGTTGCTGCTCTTGTAGCAACATAAAGAGAAGGTAAGCATTTTTTGGCTTTCACACTTCTTAGTTTCTTCACATTTTAAATGGAAAAGCAAGTGACTTGTCAGAGATTTCAGTAAAAGAAATAAATTAGCAAAGACAAAATGACAGCTCCTTGGTTCTCTGTCATGTATACTTTATATCAGTCTAGGTCTTAAAAAAAAGACATGTGATACCTCTCATATATCAAATATCTGAGTAAAAAAAAGATGTATGAGTACACCTCTATAACTGGATCTCAGAAGATATGATGATAATGTCACAGCTGGACACATTAATTGAAATTCTCCTTTAACTATTATATTTCTTTTGAGCAGTCATGTTTTTATTTTTCATTTCAAAATTAAATTGCACTTTATCATTTATTAAAATTTAAAAAATTCTGCCAAAAAGAATGAGCTGTTAGATTAATAATGAAAATGAATTATGACTACTATTACTTTTTTGGTTTCTTTTTTTAAATAAGCTATTTATTAAAATAGTGTTATCTCTCTATTTTTTTACCTGATTGTTAGTGACATTATACTGCAACAACTATAAAAAGAGACAAACTATTCCTTTTACTTACTCTATGAAATATCCATAATAAACAATTTTTGCAATTTTCAAATACAATTTTATGGTCCCTTAGAGTAAATACTATTAGCTGAATTTAGAAATGACAAAAGTTCAATTATTCATTATTATTTTTGACAATTGAAAAAAAACCCAGTAACTTATATTATTACATTTTTTATTAGGTCTTAATCATCAGGAAACCCTAGTCTCCCTCTGTCCTCATAGACATCACCACATGATTCAGTTTGTGACTTTTCAAATGGCAATGAATTAAATCACCTTCATCTTCACTCTGGGCTCATTAGACTTTTATAGGGTACAGCATCAAAAACATCTCAACTATTGGCATATTTTCTATTTTACGTAGTTTTTCTTATTGCTGTTATTTATGACTGTTGACTTTGTACAAGCAAGATTTAAATAGGCAGTCTTCTAAAATCAGTGATTTCTCAAAAAATCCCTTTTGTGTAGACATACATTATTTTTGTAAAAACTGCCAGAAAGGATTGTATTGATTTTATATAGACAATATATAAGTATAGAATTATTTATCCGATGAAATATTAAAAAAAAACCCAAAAAACAAAACAGTAAATGTCTATGGAGTTTTACTTATTATAGAGATGTAACAAAGCCAAAGTACTTATTTCATCTTCTTCCCAGAATATGCTGAAAGCAGTTCTGTAAAGTAAAGCCTTTCCTGTGAAATTACCTGTTATATTAAATTAGGCTTTCAAAATGTGTTTATTTTCTTCTAATCTGCTTCCTGATAAGCAAACTACATAAACATGTATTTGAGGTTTAGCACAGGATTACCTTTGGACATGTATATCGTCCAACTGCTCAGAAATAATAATTAGTTGTTATCTTGAATACAGATGAATTTACCGTATTTGTAAATGATGTATTGATTCAGAAAGTGGAGTTATATGGATGAGACAGGATATAAAATACAAAAAATGTAAAAGAAAAACACTTAAACTTTCAATTAACTTTTTTTCTTATATATTTTGAGTTCCCAAGGCCTTTCATCAAACCAAATTATGAGTATTTATATGAATGAAAATATTTTATGAATTATAAGTTCAAATATTTTTTACTTTGGTTTTCTTTTTCTTTTTGTTTTGTTTTGTTCTGTGGTGAAGAAATTCAATCAGAAGTAAAAGAAAACATTTTAGACTTACGATAGTGGCAAGTAGCTCCCTTGTAACCAGTATTGGCACAGTTACAGTGGAAACTGTTCCAGGACTGTGAGCACTCACCACCATGTTCACAGTAATTAGGCAAACACCTAAAACAAGAAACAATATGCATTTGCACTCTTTTTTCTCCTCACTTACTATTGTACTTAGCAAGAAAAGCAAAATCTTTGAAAAGAAGTATAAGGTGAAGGAAATCATCAATGTCATTGGTAAGAATGCCAATATAATAAGCAAAAGAAAATTAGGATAATTTCTTCCCTGGTATTTCTTTTGCTTATAAAAATATCTTAATTATATAACAAGGCTGTGAGAACAGAAATCTGGTGTAAGATGCAGAATTGGTATTAGTGTTCAATTGGTCGCAATTCAATACAGACTTATAAACTAAAGAAAGATACATGTGTTGATAATTCTTCGGCAAGTTTTACAATTACTGGGATTGCTTCAACAACTTGTATCAAAAAAAAAAGCACAATTGCAGCAGATTTCTTTCTGTTCTTGAAAAAATAGTAATAAAAATCACCTAACAAATAAATCTGACTACAGTACCTGACATCTATTTCTTATGCCAAAATCCTGTTTAATTTCTATCTTAGACAGAGTTCAGTATGTTGGTTCCAACATAACTACTTGTAAAGACAGCCTCCATTCTGCTAATACGATTAAAATCCTGAGGAGTTTTGATTACTTTTGTCTAAGTATACAATGGTTGACTGAAAAAAAATAATTTACCTGTACCTTCTTATTGTTTAAGACTGCAGCACTGTACTAAAGTATAAAATAATTGTGACATGAAAAAAAATTAATTGTTTTTTCTTTTTTATAAATGCAGTGAAAATATATTAAAATAGATTGGCACACTTCAACCAATTATTAACTAGCTTGTAACAAAATATTAATTAGCTTTTCACCTTAGAAATTAGTTAACATTCTAACTGCACTGAGTTTATGTGTATGATACAGGTCAGAAAGTGTAAAATGACTTTATTGTTGACATTAACCACAGGGAAAAAAAAAAAAACTAACAAAAGCAACATGCCCATGAACACTCATAGGATCTTAAAATACCTTTTAATTCATCCCAGAAACGTCAGGAGAATATTAAACTAGGATTGCAGGAAGTCCAGTATTTCACACATCTGCCCTATGAATAATTCAGGGTCTTTGCACATTTGCTGCTTATGCCACTCAAATAACTTTATCTTTCTTTCATGTTTATAAACAAGGATAAGTGGTTCTCACAGAAGAGATTTAAAAAAAGAAGTAGCAAGTGAAGTACAGGTAAAGTAAGTAAACTGATAGATGTCACCTATTTTCAAGGAAATCTGTGACATTTTTTGTCAGTGAAACAGCTAATCTTGTATCTATTCTCTCACTCAAAAAATATAATTCTAAGACCACTCAAAAGATGATATATGTCTCAATGAATTCTGTTTTGGAGCCTGAAAATAAAATTTAGGCACCAGGCTTACAATTATTTTGGTTATAAATACTTTGTTTGACAGAATTACATAAATATGCATACTAATGTTTCTTAGGTAAATGCTCTATTTTATTTTCTATAGTATAACTAATCATCAGTTATCATAAATACAAATCTCTATCCAAACTGCCATTCAGTGCATTCACTGATAGCTGGTCTGTTTTTATTTCAGTCACAATTTGTGTCTTATGCGTTTTTGTTAAAGACATTATCCAAAAATTGTGTTTTACATGGTCTTTACTTGTATTGACTCCCTGTCCCTACTAATTAATCTTCCTAATATTGTTCACAAGATGAAAACCTTCAAAGAAATTGATGATGCTTGAACCAACCTTAATGAAAGTGAAAACAAGAGTATAATTTAAATCTTTTACCATTAAATTTAAATCTTTTAACATTAAGTTCTTTCCTCTGCTTCAGAATGTATAATAGAAAGTAGCCACTAGCTACATCAAAGTAAATGTAAATTATATTATATGTTGTGACCCTACCCCAAAGCAAGATTTAGAACACATCTTTCTTTGAACAAGCTCATTTTCTAAAAAAAATATTTCTCATATTTGAAACAGTATTTCTAATACTTCATTAATTTTTTGATTCATCACCATGTCTGCTAAAACCAGAAAAGCAACAGCTGATTAAACATTTACCACATATTTCTTGATAATATGCTTTTAAGTGTATGGCTTCTGAAAATTATATATTTTAGACCAAGGCAGAAGCTCTAAATTAATATTGAGAGGACAATCCATAATATGAATACAGTTGTGATAAAAAAAGGGAAAAGAACTTTGTATGTCAATTTTCAACTAGACACATTTTTTTGTATACTATTTCTTTATCCAGGTTCTAAATTATGGCTAATATATAATTTTAAAAAAACAAAAAACTGCTGCATTTTTAATGCCTATTATTTCTTAATTCTTCAGCTTATTAAAACAAAAAAGTGAAAAATTATTTCAGAACTGCGCAGTGATCATAATTTTTATTTTTCTCTTTTTCCTTTTAAAGATATAAACCCATTCAATCCTTTTTTTGTATGCTCCTGCCAGGACAAAAAGGCAAAAGCTCTTGGTAGGAAATTTTATGTTTCTGTGTGAGGCTCAGTACAACTAGGACAGACGCATCTGGTACTCTCTCCTCAGAGACTAAATATGCTAACATTGTAAGGTATTTGAATGACACTGTGTCCTTTAAAGAGATTTTGTGAATGGTTTATAGCTAATTATGAGTTATTAAATCAATATATATTGATAAAAGAGCTGAGAGGAACGATATAAAGGAGAAATATATGAAGGGAATTGTTTGAATGTATAAGTGATATATGAGTAATAGAACAATATAAAGATATAATGTAATGAAATGTCTAAATGAGGGATCATGGAATGACTGATGATTGCAAACAGTCATAACAATTTAAGCCTAGGATAAGGAATTAGAAAGTTTATCAAAGTGAGAAAACTGAAAATAGGAAAATTGTATGGCATTTGTTTGTATAAAATGAATAAAAAACTCAATAATTTATATTCAGAAAAATTAATTATTAACTAAACATCTCTCCATGAAGACTGTAAATCTCATAAAGAACACTCTTCATATGTTAAATGTGTTTAGATGAGGTAAAGAATGTATTAAATAGAATTGTTTTCAGTTTATTTACTATTGCATATAAATCCAGTTTGCTACACAAAGAGTAAAGTTCTTTCATGCACTTTAAATGTGTAAAGGTAATATAAAAAGACTACATTTAGGTTTCAATCACACTTTTACAAAAGCTGTCAATAACTCCGGAATTTGGGCCATGCTTCATGATTTGGAGCTGAAGATGTAAAGACTCTAATAAAGACTCCAAGACAAAGAAAGGATTTGTTTTTGCTCACATGTAGGGAGATATTTACTATCAGGAACAAAAAATGTTAATTAGCTTAGAGCATTCGAAGACATTCATAAATCACAGTAGGAGGAAAGCATTTTTTCTCAAACAATATGGTGCACAGGATCATACAAGCTACCTATTAAATATTATTTAAAACAAGCAAGCAGTTTTCATTTTGCCCAATATATGTGCTTTATCACCTGGGATTTATGGTGAGATACAGAATTAACTTGATAAAGAGAGACATGAAGTTTGTTCCAAACTATGAGCTGCAGATATTAAATTAAATGAGACTGTGCGAGGAAACAGGAAAGAAATAGTCCCAGAAGCAAGACAGCACAAGACCAGACAGGAAGGTAATGAAATATAAAAATTAGTGGGTTAAACTTCTTAGGAAAACATATGCTTAGCATTATGGGAACTGAAAACGAAATCTTTGTTTAGACTGAGAGCCAATGCAAGAAAGGCACAATGGTCAAGATAGTTGAAGAAACATAAATTAACACTAGAAAATATCAGAGAAAACAAAACCAGCCAACTAAAAATCTCTCATAAAGATGTTATTTTCCTTTTGTATCACTGATCTTGAGAAAACACACATAATTTTGACAAAGTATGAAAGTAATATAAGCTCAAGTAAATAAAGTGTGAGAAGGTAGTAAGAGTTAAGTGTTCTGACACTTGTATACTCCAAATAATGCTGGATTTATATATACTGAGATTTACATAGTGGCTTTAAACATAATTTACGGAATATTTATACACTTACCATCTTTTTAAAACCTATATGTACAAACTTACATCTTATGGCCATTCAAAATGGAAAATAGCTGGAAGCCCTACATAAAAAAATGTACTATCTTTCTTTAAAAAATTTGGTAAGATATGTCTGTGTTCATGAAGGAGGAATTAGCTTCTAAACTGCAACTCTGAGATGAGCATTTAGGAGGTCCAAAGTTACTGTGAATAATGGAAAATTCATGGTAAATCAGACAGAAAATGGTTTCATTTATATTGTGAGTCAACTGCGTGATAATTTTCACTCATAATCTTCCTTAGATATCCTTTAATGTGTTTGACTAAAGAATATGCAGATTCTCACATTAGATTCTTTTGACTTGATTCTCTTCCTGATTTTGTCTTCATACAAGAAGAAAACAAGCAGCGTAACAGAAGCAAGTTCAGTTCCAGAGTACAAAAAGCAGTAGTGATGTAGTGCTTCAGAAAGTGAATGGAAATGTCATGAGGTCTTTCAAAGAGGAGAGGAAGGAGCATCATGACTGAAAACTGAGAAAATAAGTCAAAGGCTTACTACTGTATGAAAGAAAGGTGAAAAGAAACATCTATGCATGTGGCATCCCAAGTATAAGTCCCTAGTAAGCCATATGGTAAAGTAAAATGTGTTTTGGCACATGTCTATCACACTTAGTGCCTATTGCAAAGGCAGGATTAGCTCAGTAAGAAATAAATTAGCACAATTATTACATATATATATATATATATATATACGAACTGCATATGTTTTTAATTTATGATAGGTGTAGAAATATTAGTGAGTATACACACTACAAACACAATTGAAAGGATCACATTGTAGGCAGAACTTTTATCCTTGTCTTGGACTTTTCTCTGCTTAAACTTTTATGAAGAATTAGATAAATAGCTAGTACTATTTCCATCTTCCATCTACAAGGAATAGTGACCATTTCCAAAATAAGAACTGGATAGCAGTACACTGTTATCTCTAGGAATGGATTGCAGGTTACAGAAGTAAGGTTGTGTGACCAATCCTGAAACTGGCTATTGTCTTAAAGCAGATCTCTGCCTACAGTGTTTTCCCAAAAAGACATAACTTTTGAAAAATCTTGTAATTCAATAGACAGACTTTTTGAAATCAAAAGACACTTTATGAGGACTAGAATATAGAAAGTGAAGGGACAATTATTTGAAAGCACATGATTCCCCTCTGCCTGCTGTGTCCTTTCAGTACAGCCTTTCACCTGGGTCCAGTTAAAACACTTTGGGATTAAAGACAGCATAACTGTCTGTGACTGCATTCTCTGGAGTCTACAGAATAAAACTTCTCCTTCTATTGGCTGTGTGTTTCCTCCCTCTCTTTTCAGCATCTTGTGTTCTGCAATCCCCTCTGCTTTCACTACACTGAAGTCCAGCAATGTCTTTCCTTCAAGCATTTCTATTTCTGGGAATGTATATAGCCTTTCCTCTTTGGGGAGGGACTTTCCTTTTGAGGAGGTACACTTTAACTAGCCATTCTTTTAGATAGATAATGATTGCAAGTTATGAGATTAGTTCTGACCATTGTCTAAAAGGCAATTGCTCACTCACTGTGATGGATATTATCTACTGTGTTTCTGGAGAATATAGGAAACAGCAGTAACGGTAAAAAACAGAGTATTTTAAAGGGTGGATGGGACTACAGGTTGCAGTAGGGGATTTGTGTCTGCAGCTTACTTGAAAAGAAAGCAAGATATTTAAATTTGTCAGAAATATAAAATAATTTTAGTCAAAGCTAATTTTATTTGCAGTAAAAGTCTATTTGCTATATGCTACATATTCTGCATTTATTCAGGATTTCTGAATTCTTACAAAAGAAACAGCATGTAATTTTGTAAGTGTTCTGTTATTTGTCATCAATCACTATTAGAAACAAAAGATAGACATAAATAAATTAATAAGTAAACATAATTTTCTCACCTGTCTGTAATGCCACATAAATCTATGAGAAGATCACTGAAATTGCCAAAACCGTTTTGCTGAATAGAGATCACATCCACTGCTTTGTTACCAATGGAAATATGCTGCATGCACCCTTGAAAACCACCAAATGAGGTATTACATTCAGAAATGTTTCCACTGCTAGGACAGCCTGAAAAAAGAATAAAAACTGGAGCTGAAAATAAATATTTTATTGAAAAATATTATATACTCCAAAAGTAAATTGGACTATTATAACCTCCACAAATTTTAAACTATGTGATTGGAGAACTTTAGCCAGAAGCTCTTCTGATAAGCTATGGTTGTATGACTGAAAAGTAATACTTCTCTGCAGTCTTACTGTTTTTAAAGCATATACAAAACATCGCTAAAATTTTTTTTAAAGGATAACCTAAACAAAAGATGTTAGGTTGCAATACAAGTTCACATGATTTGAACAAGTTTTAAGTCACAATTGAAGCCAAATAAGAAAAAAAACCAACCAAACAAACAAAAAAACCCCCAGTTATTAAGTACAGTGATTTTGCTCTGTCAGCTGTTAGGAATATTTTGTAAAGTACTGAAACTTCTTCTTGCAGATTGTCAATGAATGACTCAACTAGGAGAGATGCTCCATTGAACCTGCTGCTCATGGACAAGGAAGAAATTGTTGAAAATGTAAAGATCAAGGACAGTCTTGGTTACAGCAAACATGAGGATGAAGCTGTGGAGAAGAGAGAAAGAAATAAACTCCAGAATTATAACCCTTGACTTTAGAAAAGCCAATTTTTTTCTGTTCAGGATCTCTTTTGAAGACACCATTAAAACTTGCCTTGGTGAGCAAAAGGGCTGGATAGTTTTCAACAAAAAAGCCCTTCAGAATAAAAGAGAAGTCCATAACAATATCAAAATAGTTAATTAAGTGTGACATAAGGCCTGCAACATGGAGCTCCTGAATGAGTGCAAATACAAAAAGAAAGCACACAGAATGTGGTATCAGGGACATGCACCATAGAGAAGAATGCAAAGACACTACCTAGGAATGCACGTAGGATACCAAGAGGAGATAAAACTTGCCAAGGAAGTTCAAGTGCAACAAAAAATTTTGTGTAGGTACACCAGAATGCTAAAGAGATTATGGATATTATCCATATATCACATGGGGCAGGGGATTTAGTGACAAGGGAATAATTTCCTTCAAGGTCTTTTTCTTCACTGGTATAACTGTTCTTTAGGATTCCCATATCCTAGCAGAGTATAAAAAAAAAGACTGTAGTATCCATGGTAAAAGAACACAGTAAAAGAACCAGGTGCACCTGAGCATGCCGCAGGAGCTGATAAATGCTATTTTAACGATTGACATTGTCATTGTGAATTCATTAACATTTTAATCCTCAAAGGGTCTTGGCAATATGCTTAACTTCTTGATAATCGGAAAAGTTACACCCATCTTCAAGAAACTAGAGGACTGTTAGTCTTACCACAGTGCCTGGAAAATTCAGAGAGCAAAACTTCTTAAAGCCATTCCTAAACATGCAAAGGACAAGAAGTTAACTGGCTAACTTTAGCTTCAAGGTTAAATTATTCCTGACTGAGGTCTTTGTTTTCTTTGCTGAAGTGATGAACAGTATAAATGGAGAGCACTGAGCCTTGCATACCATGACTTTAGCAAAGAATTGACAGTTTTCTATTATGTCCCTATCACCAGATTCACAATATATATGAGTGAGATAAGCAGGCAGTTGATGCTGCAAAATCCAGCTGATGATCACTGAGCAGAAGAGATTTAGAGATCAGTAGTGGCATCTATAATGTCTTGATCATGAGGCAGCACGTGCTTTCAACAGGCATGCAACAAGGCAGGGACAAAACGTTGGAGAGCGGGGCTGCAACTCAAAAAGACCTGGACAGGAATGCCATGAATTTCATTAAGAACAAGATCAAGATTTTTAATCTGAGATGGAGCAAGTCCACACAACAATCCAAACTGTAGGATAACTGTCCAGAGAGAGACCTGAGATCCTAGTGACTATCAAGTGGGCTATGATCTGGGGAAGTGCTCTTGTAGCACAGAAGGCCAATGCCATTCCAGGATGCATTGCCAAGAGCATAGTCAGCAAGCCTTGAGAAGTGGCTCTTCCAGCTACATGGTACTTGTGAGGCCATATCTGGAGTGCTGTAGTTCTGGGCTCCCCAGAACAGTGGAGAAAGGACACTGATGTCCCAGCGTGAGGCCACAGGAGGGCTCCAAAACGGCTGGAAGTTGAATGCAGTTATGAGGAGAGGCTGAGAGATCTGGGCCTACTCAGTCTTAAGAAGAGAAGATAAAAATATCTGATAAGATGGCAAAGAGAAGATGGAGCAGGATTACTTCCAGCAATATATGGTGACAGAACAAGAGGCAAAGGACAAAACTATAAACCTACAAATTTGGATCATAAAGTATAAGACACAAGCAACAGGTATTTTTACTGTGACAGTGGTCCATATGAGAACAATTTGCCCCGAGAAGTTATAAGATTTCCATCTTTGCAGTTGTACAAGGCTTGAGTGGTCACATCTTATCTAATCAGACTTGTTTAGAACTGAGGCTTAGACTACATACCATCCATGCCATCTGGATGTACACAGTCTGTAAGAATTAATATTGTGACTTATCTATTGTCTTACTGGTTCAGAAATGCCTTGTTCACTGATTGCCAAATAAGTAAACATTTGTAGTAAATAAATAAATTGCTTTAATCCTGATTTGTTTTAAAACATGTACATTAAGCAGTTTTTCCCAATGTCAGCTAAACACTGCACTACAATGCTTTATTTGTCTTTCTTCCACGGGGTATTATTGTTTCTTCAATGATGCACAAGGGTCATCCTTTGATTTTAATCAAACAATGCTACATTCTAGTTCACAGCATTTGAAGGCCTTTAGGATGCATTTAGGATGTTAGGAAGCAATGAGTTTTAAGACACTTGTGTATTCCACAAAGCTAATGAGTACTTTTGAAGTCCTGTAAAGACAGTGGAGAGGCTTATGATACAGAAAAGAAAAGTGACAGTGGAAACTATTAAATATATTCAAATAAGTGTGCTACAACATAAATAGTATAGATATATTTTTGAGAAATATAGATTAGAAAATGCATTAAAATTGAAATTTTACAAGTTAATAGACTTGCAGTGTGTATAAATCTGCTCAGGAACCAGATTGTTCAAAATTTTTATCATGTTTCTAAAGGTAAATGTTTATTATCTACTTTGTGTGTTGTTTTAAGAACAAATATGTGGAATTGTAAAAGTAAAAATAAGAGCACAGTAAGTTTTCAGCACCACACACAGTTAGACAAATGAATTACAGGTTTAACCATGTGTTTTACAGCATTCTACAGTTGAATGGCAACATAAATTCTGTAATTTCTGGTGAAAAATGTGATGCTTATTTGAGAACAAAATACTTCAAGTAGAGCATAAATAAATAAATAAAAGATAAACAAACAAACAAATAAGTGAAATCAGGAAAAGTTCATAATTTTTCAGCATAGCTACTTTACAAAATTGTGTCTCAGATATTTTTCTTGGTTTTACTTTTACAAAAATTGTCTTCTATTAGAGAAGAGACAAATACCATTTAAATGGATTAAATTGTGTTTCCTTACAACTGTAGACTAGATATTAAAGATAAAAAGAAATCCTTTAATCATTTAAATTTATATTTTGTACTTATTGTAGTATTAAATGATCTCATTTACCCTTACAGTTGCAATGAGTTTTTATTACAAGAACTGTAAGAGGTTAGAGACCCTTGATAATGGCATTACTAGAAATTATGCTGACATAACACTAAAATATTTTCATGTTTATCACACATTTTCCTAGTTAAACATACATATTTCCTGCATACTTTGTATTCATTAAATCAAGTAAACAAATCACCGTGTCCCCAGGACATCTGCCCTGAAAGGCTGCTACTCTGTAGTTTAACAAACAACACAAACATGGTAAATATTCATATAAACATATAAAGAAAGTAAAAGTGCATTGTCTGCATTTTGGCACTGGCATATAATATAAAAATTTAATAAAGAATTTTCTAAACTCAGAAACCCACTTCTAGCATTTCCTAACTTTGTATGAGATGCATGAGCTGCAGTTTTCAGCGATAAAGCTGAGATCATAGAATCTGAGGGGTGGATATGGAGTTGGAACTTCCAGTATGGAATTATTTTGCCCTCTCCACATTTCAAAACACAAATAGAAGTGCCCTTCTACAACTTAATCGAATATGTTGCTTTTTGTAAACCCCCACATGCATTTTGAACTGTTCATCTGTGCCATCAACCGTGCAATGATGAAAATCACCTGATCAAGATCTGGGAACCTGAACCAACACAAAAGATTTACTCAAGACTAATATTTTGCATCTTTCTCTGATTTTGCTGGTTATTAGCCAAGTCAAGGGATATTTTTAGGATAACAGGGTAGATGCCAGAGGTGAAAATTCATGTGAATGCTCCTGTAGCAGTTACTGCACTAAGAGTATATTTGTGAACATGAAATTTATATAAAACCTATTGTTTCAAGGGAAGTGGTCTGTAGACAATGACTGAGTCCATACTCATTATGAGTATGATGTCCATGAGTCCATACTTTTGTAGATAACCTTCTCAGTTTTCTCAGACATTTGAGAATTATTAATAAATAATTAATAATTTCATAATTCAACCATTAATGTTTAAAAGAGAGGAAGCATTAGGCAAACAACACAATCAGGTAATGTTTATCATTGCTTCTATGCAGCCTATTCCCAAAAGAATTATATGAATAACAGAACAACCTCTTCCTCTCTATCAGTAACAAGACATGTTATTAATGACATAAACTCTTGATGACAGATGACTGTTGATATTCCTAGAGAAATGAAGATATATGTACATATAGGTTTTTAGGCGCAAATTATATTCATCAAGCAAAGAACAGTTACACACACTGTGGTAAAAAAAAAAAAATCTATGTATCACACAAGGAGAGTATTTACACAGATAAGCATATACTTAAGGTAAAAACTTAAAGTTATTACTCTCCAAAATATTAATTTAGCAAAACAATAAGTCTACAGCAAGAGAAACCTTTGTGTATCTGTTTGATTTCCAGACAGACGATATTCAATTATTGCAACACAACACAAGTTACAACAATTTAAAAAGTGACCAAGAATTTAGGGTGGTGATTTATTCCACCCAACATGGTAAAATTCAAAGGAAACTGAAAACATCATAAAAATGCCTAAATCAAGCTAGGCAAAGAAGACTTGAAGCAAGCCAAGCAATTGTTTTCATTTGACTAGATACTCAGGAAAACTTGATGTGTAACTGTTGGATATTGCCTATATAAACAAACAATAGTCTTTCACCTCCAAAGTAGAAAACATCTGAATAAATCTGCAGAGGTATGAAGGCATGAGCGGATGTGGTCACATCATTGTCCACTCTTACACTGATACGACTCCTTTTGACAGAGAGAGATACAGAATGCCACTGGCCATTATTTAATCCAGCACCTGGAAGAAAAATAAAACCCCCAAATTTAGTGAGCTTCCACCTTTTGTTATACTATCTAAATGTTTTATAATTGAAAGGAGAAGTAACCAAGAGAGCAATCATAGCCCACATAAAGTCTCCAAGTGATAGTAAAATGAAAAGGAACTTAATAAGTACAAGCATCTTTTGTGAAGACAGAACCTTGCTTCACATTTGATAAATAAAAAATAAAGCTACTTCAGTGAATAAGTCTTAGTGTTGTAGCACTACCATTTCAGCCTAATTATCTGTAATACATTCATTTAATGTAATGACTTTGAAGAGCATTCTCACAATCCAAGGAGGTTATCATTAAAACATTGTGATGATAGATATAGTATTTTGCACATAATGAATATTTTTATTACACTGTTACAAAGTGGTCATTATATTACAATATGGCAAAATAGCAAAATACTGTAGATGCTAAAATCTTCAATAATCATTGTGTCAGTGTCACAAGACATTTTTGCTTTCAACTGATTCTTTTATTGTACATGTGTGAGAAAATATTCTGCGAGTTTAGCTACGACCACAAATTTACATTACCTCTGGCTGTGTAGATGTGAGGTGTCAAAAAGCAGTAAACCTATAGCCCTAAATCTGGAAAGCACTTATGTATGCACATATAAATAAGTTCAAGACAGGGCAGCATGTAACCATATTATTATCTTTAACAACTGCTTAAAGTCAATCTTGGGTATTCTTTTAGAGGTACTTCTTTCAGTGAAGAACAAATAATAAAACAATTAATTTAGGCAAAGTATTTTCTTGACTGCATAATGCTTGTGATTTGTGATCTGTGATTTCCTTCTTGAAATTTCATGTATTTATGTAGTCCTCTCTAGAACGTGTTTTATATGCTGCAGTAACGGTCCATGAGTTAAGATATTCATTCAAACAGAAAGAAAAGAAATAAAAAGAGAAAGATGAGGAGGTTCAAATAACTAAATTATAGCATAATTAGGATCCATAGATTGTTGACTACCATAATCTTAATACAAGACTGTAATAAAATGAAGAGATAAACCCTAGAAGGACATTGCAAACTCAGATGAACTATCACCTAGATAATATCTCCAAGTATTTAAGATAATATTAGTCCTATATACTTTTTCTCTCATTTTCACCTTACTTCAATCAGCATATTTATTGGGGAACATGTGACATATTTATTAGGGAACAAGAAATCCTAAACATTTTGCCTTAGCCCCAGCCTCACATAGGTACTTCAAGTGACTGAAATTTTCCTCAGTCACATCTCGTTAATACAGTATCTCTTCCTTTAGAAATTAAAGAATCATAGAATCATATAGCATTTTGGGCTACAGTCAAAAACAGTTTGATCAATGCCTCTCTTTGCAGGGACTTTTTTACTGGATCAGGTTGCCAAAACCCCCCTACAACATACCCTTGAACATTTCCAGGAATGGAACATGTAAATCTAACCTGTATCACTTTAAAATTGTTACCTCTAGTTCTGCCACTACAGATCCTTGGAGGAAAAAAGGAATAAAATTCTCCATTATAGTCCTTCTCTGTTTTTTTTCCAGGCTGAACAATACTGGCTTCCTCAACCTGTCTTCACAACGATGTGCTCCAGCCCTCTGATAATTTTCACGGCCCTACTCCACTCTCTCTCTAGCAGGACCATGTTTTTCTTGTGCTGGGGACCCTAGAGCTTGAAGGAATTCTTGAGGTGAGGTCTCATCTACGTGATCCCCCAAGTTCTTCTTGACAGGTCCGCTTTTAATCCCTTCCTGCCCTAGCCTGTACTGATACTGGGGAGCACTCAAATCCAGGTAAAGGAATTTGCATTTAGCTTTGCTGAGCTTCATGACATCCACATGGATCCATTCTTTAAGTCTATCAAGCACCCTCCATCTTCAAATCTACCAAGGGTTGCATTCATTCCCTAGAGCAAACCAACTGCACCACTCAGGTGGGTGTCATCAGCAAACTTGCTGGGGGTACACTTGATCTCACTCCCTATGTTATTACTGAAAATATTAAATCTAGCAAAAAGCTCTCTCACTTTATTTTAATTGTTACAAGGATAACTGTAGTTTTCCCCCCCTCCACGCAGCCCCCCGAAGAATCCGACTAGCTCAGAGATAGAGGCTGTGAGGGGATGAATACCAGGAGAGGGAAAAGTATTCAAAAGAGGCTCTTACCCCAGGGTGTTGGAACAGCTCTCTTTATTCTGTGGTGTCCATGTGAGAGCGGGGCAAAAAAGGAAGAATAGGAAATCTCAGGGGTCTATATAGGTTTTGGACAGGGTGGGCTTTCCTGGCTCTCCGCCAACCCCGTTGGGGCAGGAAGGAGGATCCAGGGGTTATCTTGATCAGAGTCACAGGGTCCTGGGGGAAGGGGGGCACAGGGTGCCCATGAGCTCACCGTAACAGATAACTGCTTTTAATTCTTAGTTGTGCATCCTGTTTCCGTAGCTTGTTGTTCTGGTGGGTAAACCATATTCCAAACCTTGCAATATTTGACTGTGAAGGTAGGTAAGAGACTGTCCTAACATATAAAGAGTGGTATTTCAGGCCATCAGAAGTTTTGGTTACTGGAAAATTAATAATATAGATTTTACATTTTTTGGTTTGTTGATTGTAATTCACCTTGCTGACCTACTGTATGATTTTGGAATGGATATTCTATCTCCCCTTCTTAGTGGTTAGCATGATTAGAGATTCAATAACGTCCATGTAGCTGAAGCTAAGACTTCCTAGAAATCCCTTTTATTAAGTTTGAGAACTAAGAAATGACATTGTGGGAGCACAAGACCCTCTGAAGAAAACTGTTCATTTTAGCCCTTGAATTGAGAACCTTGACTAAATTCCCATTTGCTTGTGTAGAACCACTGAGTGGTAAAATATCTAAGTGGAAGAGGCCAGTGGACTACCAACATCTACATTCCATCTGAAACTTATATTGTCTGCTGCTCTACTGTGAGTTAGAAAAATGCTTAACTACAAAAAAACAGGAAAATCAAAGCAATTAATTTTTTTAGTACATAATAAGGTAGCTGTTAAACAAGATGTCCATTTATTCACATAAATGTACATTATTATTATAAATTGACATATATATAGTTCCATTATTTTAAATCTAAGTATTAGAATAGGTTCTATGGGATCACAGAATCACAGAATCACAGAATAATGAGGTTGGAAGAGACCTCTAAGATCCTCAAGTCCAACCTGTGCCCTAACACCACAATTAGACCATAGCACCAAGTGCCAAGTCCAGTCTTTTTTTAAACATATCCAGAGATGGTGATTCCACCACCTCCCTAGGAAGACAATTCCAGTATTTTATTATTCTTTCAGTGAATTTTTTTTCCTAATATCCAACCTAAACTTTCCCTGATGTAGCTTGAGACTGTGTCCTCTTGTTCTGCCAGCTGCTACCCGGTGGAAGAGATTGACCCCACCTGTCTACAAACTCCCTTCAGGAAGTTGTAGAGAGCAATAAGGTCACCTCTTCTCCAAGCTAAAGAACCCCAACTCCCTCAAACATTCCTCATAGGGCTTGTGTTCCAAGCCCCTCACCAGCCTCGTTGCCCTCCTCTGGACGCGGTCAAGTATCTCTATGTCCTTCCTGAACTGAGGGGCCCAGAACTGGACACAGTACTCAAGATGTGGTCTCACCAGCGCCAACTATAAGGGAAGAATAACCTCCCTACTCCTGCTGGTCACGCCATTCCTAATACAGGCCAGGATGCCATTGGCCTTCTTGGCCACCGAGGCACATTGCTGGCTCATATCCAACCAGCTGTCGACCAGCACCCCCAGGTCCCTTTCTGTCTGGACACTGTCCAGCCATACTGTCCCCAACCTGTAACGCTGTAGGGGATTTTTGTGTCCAAAATGCAGAACTCGGCACTTAGACTTATTAAACTTCATGCTGTTGGACTCTGCGCATCTGTCCAATCGATCCAAATCTCTTTGCAGAGCCCTCCTTCCTTCCAACAGGTCAACACCAGCTCCCATCTTAGTATCTGCAAATTTACTAATGAAGGATTGAATGCCCTCATCCATGTCATCTATAAAAATATTAAATAGAACTGGTCCCAGCACAAACCCCTGAGGGACACCACTGGTGACTGTCCCCAGCAGGATGCAGCACTGTTCACCACCACTCTCTGGGCCCGGCCATCCAGCCAGTTCCTAACCCAGCAAAGGGTGCTCCCATCCAAGCCATGGGCTGCCAGCTTTTCCAGGAGTATGCTATGGGAAACAGTATCAAAGGCCTTGCTGAAGTCTAAATAGACAACATCCACAGCCTTTCCTGCATCTACCAGAAGAGTCACCTGGTCATAGAAGGAGACCAGGTTGGTCAGACATGACCTACCCTTTGTAGACCCATGCTGACTGGATCTGATACCCTGGCCATCTTGTAAGTGCTGTGTGATAGCACTAAGTATGAACTGTTCCATTATCTTACCTGGTACTGAGGTCAGGCTAACCGGCCTGTAATTACCAGGACCCTCCTTCCTACCTTTTTTGTAAATGGGTGTCACATTGTCCAGTTTCCAATCGTCCGGGACCTCACCCGTGAGCCACAACTCCGGATAAATGATGGAGACTGGCTTCGCAAGCACATCTGCCAGCTCCCTCATCACCCTAGGGTGGATCCCATCTGGTCCCATTGATTTATAAATATCCAAGTGTCCCAGTAGTTCTCTAACTGCCTCCTCTTGGATATCAAGAAGACCATTCTGCTCCCTGGCACCACCTACCAACCTCTTGCAGAACAATGATACCTGACCTCAGGAACACATGTATAAAATGCAGTGTATATAAATTATTAGAAGATCAGTGAGAAACAAAAAAAAAAGTTTACAGGAAGTAATTTATAGACTAGTCTGAAGTATAACAATGAGATCTCATTATTATTATTATTATTATTAACATCACTTAACTAAAAGCTGCATGGAAATTAAAAGCTTCATAGAAATAGTGGGTCAAAGAAGAAATTGAGTAATAAGATCTAACATTTACACATATTGTAATTCAATTTGGTCCCATAATTCAAAACAAATTAACTTTGTGTTGATTTCTCTTTTTTAAAAATCTATGTTATTTCTTTGTGAATATTTGATGTACCACTTGCAAAAGAGGCTACAAATGAAACACATTAAGCAGCCATTCTGCAAAAGAAAGATAGAACTAACAATAACTTAATTAGTTATGAAACGATATACCATTCTCCTCAGTTTTATATGGTTAAAGAAATTCTTAAAAAAACATAGGATAATTAATTTAAGACTTGTGCACAAAGAAATATGCTCAGATTTAATTATCAAATATTACGTGTGTGTGTGTGTGTGTGTGTGTGTGTGTGTGCGTCTGTATGCATGTGAAAGTTAAGTCATAAGTCCTTGCCTGTAGGGGAGCAAATCTTCAGTCCAACCATCCATAATTTAATTACTCAACCTCCAAATGCAGACTTGAATTGCTTCAGTGATTTCTACAACAAACACTTCAAAAACTCAAGAAAAAGTTTCCCATATGGTTTTGTTAGATAAATTCCTTCTCAGAAGAGAATAAGATGATTTTGCTGTAGCATTTGCCTTCACAAAGACAAACACAATTCCTCCTGTTAGACTTTATGAACAGAAAGCTTAACCTAGCATGAGAACATTAAATTCTGTTTCAGCATAGAATGTCAAGATTTATTTGGGATGTTTATGCTAATATCTTATGCATTACAGCTTTGAAATTGAATAAATTGTCCCATGTGCAAGTCTACCTACTGCTGTTAAAAGTACCACCACCATCAGCCAGTCTGTTAAAATGACAGTGCATGGCAACAGTTTCTTTAACATATATCACCTAATTGAACAGCAATTTAAATAGCTCCTAAAAACCCAAATTCATCACTGTTAACTACGTACCACTGACATTCTTACTAAGAAATTGACATTTTCGAATGGTAAGCCTAGGGAAATTTCTTGTCTTTAAAGTGGTACTCTTTGTGCATCAGTTATTTTAGAAAATAAAAAATACCAGAGACATTCCTATTATCATCCACAGGAACAGGATGAAAGTATTTATGTACATTTCAGCATTAGCTGTAGTCATTACAGGCTTGCAGTCTTTTTCTGAGTTAAAATAATCAACAATTTAAAATTTTACTTGTAATCATTATACATCTGTGGAATCATGATGAACTTCACAGTTTCTCCCTTCCCCTTCCCCTTCTACCTCAAGAAAGGGAAGGAATTTTCATTTATTAAGAGGATTTAAAGTAAGGAATCAATCAAAGAAACAGGGGCATGGAGCAAAGATTAAGGAGACCTCATGTTCAAGTCATGTGACTGTTTCTTGTCCTGCTTTGTTCTATTTTGCTCCCTTTACATTATACTGCCTAATACATTTTGAGAATAATTTATATCAGTTGATTCTTATTTTGTCTTTATACTGATTAAAACTAGTCTGGGGGTTTATCACTTGGTTTTTTTTGCATAACTGGAACTAACCTGGCTTCTTTTAAACTGATAATATTCTGCTTTGTGATTATGAAATGGAAAATACATGCTTCTGTATGGGTCAAAATGAATCAAAGATCAAGTAATGTTTTGGTTCTCATAAATGTGTTTTCTGCATCCAAATTCACCATTGCTTCTACAATATATTCCTCCCACTAGTGGACTCTGGTCATCTTTGTCCATACAGAAACTACTCCAACCCCAGACTCATTTTCCATCCTATAATACATTTCTTGTGATCCCCTTTATCCATTTAATCTCTATTGTCTTTTTTCCTGTCTTAGGACTCATCATATCACATCATATAATCCACCTACAAGTAAAGGCCAAAATTCAATTTGTTTGCATTAAAAATGAGAAGCTCTATTGCTGTTATACATGGAATGTCAGAGAATAGTACAATAATGATGAAAAGCTGATAGGTGAAGGTGATGATATTATTACATGGGGGAGTTGATCTCAGCATTTTATAAAAAGCCTTTGATGGTGGAGATGATGTTTTTCTGTCCTGCTGCATATTTCCTGAAAGATGGAGATTCCTGACTGGGCCAACAGTCTTGTTTTTCTCACATCAACTGCCAGCAATGCTCAGAAAAACTGAGGAGACTCTTTGTGAAAGACTTAGTCCCATTCCTGCCAGGCAGAGAGAAAGTTAAAGCAGAAATCTGCTTAGAATCCCAACTGAATACTCTCTAACATGACTGTGTATCACTATATTAGCTTCACCCTTTTGTCTTGACATATTTGTTTGCCAAAGATGAAATTAATAATCAGAAGAATAGACCAGGTACTAACTTTCTGAAAATCTGTTTTACCCTGAGGGATGCCTAGGAGTGCACTACCAAAAGTAGATGATCTAGTCTCGATTTAGTGTTTAACTACAAAAGTGTCCCTTTAGCTCTCAGGTATTCATTTTCCTCAAGTTCCCTTTTTTTTTTTTTTAATCATAGATTCAAACTTGCCCTGGTTTTCTGAAACACAATCTGGTATTAGGCATCCACTGTCCCAGATTAATGGATATCTGTGACTGAGAACTCTAAAAATAACAGACATTATATTTTATAGAGGTTTATAACTTTATAAAAAAAAAAAATTGTTACTTGATATCTCTTGAAAGCACAGAACAATGGCAAAAAACATCTGTACACTGAGCTGTACACAGTGTATACATGTTAAGCTAAGGATTCAATTTTTCAGTCTATATTACTGCGAGTAATTGCTGCTCAGCCATTGGGAAAATAAAGAATAGGTATGTTTGTGAAAAAAGAAAGCATTTAGAAATAATTGGGTGTAAAATTCACTCAAGTTAAGCACAGTTGTACACAAACTAATAATAAAAATAAGTCAAGAAAGCAAGTACTAAATAAATAACTTTAATTTTTTTCTTTTATTCATAGGAGTCTTGTAATTTTTTTTCTTCATTTCTGTTACCTGTAGCGATGTCACTCAGTACTCTTCCTGTTTTATGAAGATTGATTTTGATTCTCCCGTCACTCAGATATAAGAGGAAACCACCGGATGACTGGTGCAGTTTACTGGATAATAGAAGTCCTTCCTTGTTCCAAGTGCGAAACTCAAAACTGACAAATACTTCATCTTGCCCTGATGTGCCTTGCAGCGCCAGAAAGCTGCTGGAACTCAGAAATGTAACAGGAACCACCTGTGGCTCTAAACATGAGAAGGACATATTGCCCTAGAAATAAATAAAACAAATATGGCATTAGGAAGAGTCATGAGAATTTCTTCACGGAAACTGCAGAGTTTCAAAACATGGTACATAGTACTTGAAATGTATCAGTCAAAAACTAAACATGAACATAGTTGTCTGACCAGACTAGACTCATCTGCCTGCACAGCGTGGCAAGGACCTTTGAGGGAATGACTTAAGATCCTAAATTATGAGGCTGATTTAATGCTACTTCAGGAGTTAGAAAGATCTGTTTTGTTCCTAGTTTGGCTCAGCCTCAGTAAGCATTAGGGACTTCACAAATTCTGCAATGACTTATAAGTGCCATGCCACTGACTGCATGTAAACACTTGCATGGGTCTAAATGCTTGGATGCAGAGAAGAATGTTGAGCCGGCACTGATTGTTTAAGATGGTGTTAAATTTAAGAAAAAAATCCAAATTAACGCAATTGGAAATGTGCACCAACTCCAGTATTTGTTTTCACAAACAGAAAAATTCCACATATAAATTCTTGCTACTTACAAATGCACAGAACACACTTTTTGACCTAAGAGGGAATGTGTTTTCAAGCAGGCCCATATGGACTAGATGATGAGTTGGATTTATGCACCTAGCATTTATTTTGTGTTTACCTTCTTCTGAAATAACTATTTCTTAGGTAAACTTGTGGCTGAATTAATTGAGAAAGTCCGAGAGTTAGTTAACACTTTACAGTGCTTGATAGTAGTACACTGTGCACTCTGATCTAATGACTTGCTGACACCATTTGAACTAATTGACACTAATTTGTTCTGGAAAAAGTATTACTAAAGATTAAGGGGTTCGGAATTTAAAGTGTATCTAATTACTGTTCAGCAGTAAGAGGTTTTAAACTTTTGAGCATATATAAAACTTTGGCCACACATTAAGTAGCTTTAAAATCAATTTAAGAAAAATATTCACTAGTTCCTGGTGTGGCAAACTATTAAAGTTTATGGGTTTTCATTTTCTTCAAGGAAAATAGATAAATGGGTAAAAGCTTTGTCTTATGAACTCAGTTGTACAGAAATGAATAGTCAGCTAAACTGACACACAGTAAAAAGGCACTCATCAGATTAATAAACCTTGTTAAATGCTAAAAGCTGGTCATTTGCAGATTTACCCAGTAAAGTGCCTGTTTAACAGGGATTCTGTGGTAACAGAGATTAATTCCATAATATTTAAATTATGAAGCATCTCCTAAATAGTTCTGAAAGTAGCACAAGAATAAAAAACATTGGACAGGAAAGTAATGAAATTTTGTATTACAGATAAATTCATAGATGTCTTCCACTAGTCCACCCAGAGCCTACTATAACTGCCCATTCCCCAGTATTCATAAGCGTCACGCAGAGGTATAAGCTTAGATAACTTTAGAATATTTCAAGTGAATTTCATATGAGAAGCGATGCCTCTCATCCATTTCTTCTATGACAGAGACAAATTTCTGCTATGATAGGGACCAAATTTGATTCTTTGTATTCTGAATAGAAATCCAGGTTAAAATATTTGGATCATGAAAGCATTTAATATATATTTTTTGTCACCCAGATAACACACAACATTGTGATATCAGACATTATCTAAATATCATCTAAAGACCTCAAAAATAAAATGCATCCTGCCTTTTCTACTAGGATGAGTCTACTCAGCATAAAATGAAAAGTAGCCCAACTTGATAATTACTTTATTTTTCTTTCATTGCCTAACATAGATTTTACTAGAACTGTGTGCTAAAAGGTTGGATTTGAAAGTGGTTGTGATCTTTTCCTCTGTTTTAGTTATTTATTCTTTCTTAACTATAAATCTCTTACCACAATGTAGATCTGAGATTTATGCCTCCTGGCCAGGTCAATAATGTTCACTCCATTATAATAAATATTTTCCAAACACCCATGAAAGTTCCTGCGTGATAATGTCCCTGATTTTCCAGGCACTGGGATCCCTCCAAAGCTGAGCTTAGAAAGAGAAGAGAAATCAATAATACTATTAAGTAATTTTCTAAGGAAAGAAGTTGACTATACTGTAAGAGAAGAAGTCAAAGACTGGCCCATAATGAATTTGCAACTTCTTGTGTATTTCACTGTATCACGTCTACATAATTAAAAGAATAGGCTAACAAAAAACTAGGCTACATTAGGTCAAATGTATGTAGCAAATCATTCTGATATTTTGGCTTTTTTTATCTTCTTCTGATAAGTATCTGTATCTTGAATCAGTTTTCTGGGTCCATTGCAGCTGTGAAACCAAGCAGAAGAAGGACAAGGCCAAGTACAAGGAGACTATGCAGAACAGTGTAAAAAGGGAGACGACAATTAGCAACAATTTCTTTAGAAACTTGAGCCTAACTTCTCCACTCTGTGCACACCATAACTACTATAATAGAAAACAAGATTGCATCAAATGACATTCTAGCACATATTAGAAACAAACTAAAGGATTCACATTTTCCCCTTTCAAAATGCTTAGGCTGTGCAGTTCCTTTGTATGGTGCTGTAAAATTACTTAGTTTCAGAAAGAGATTGGAAGATTTAACAAAAATAAAAACCCATTGAGAGCTACTAAATTCAAGAATGTCATTCTTTCTAAATGCATCCCTCCCCTAAGGTAAAAGCTTCTAGAAAGTAGTAAATTATTTCAGAAAAGCATTACCACAAGGTTGACCTTAGTTCTGCTCAGGTCTATATTTTAACTCTTTTACACTATCAGAAATAGGATTCCAGTATAAGTGAACATTTGAGCTCACATATTCCAAAGCTATTCTAGACAACATTGTAAAAAAGGCCCGTTTAAACTATTAACCTTTTAATTTTTAAATTTGTTTTAAAACAAATTGTAAACCATCTATTTTCCCTCTTGCTTTTCTTTTTTTTTTCCTTTAATTAGTATGATCCTCCAAACTTTGATATTATGATTTACATTCAGAAATTCTGAGCAGATATTTCTGAAATGGAATAATGCAGACACAGAACAGCATGACATCTCACTCTAAAATGCTTAAAAGTTGGAATGAGTAGAATAAAGTCTGCAGGTTCCTGACATTCTGCTCTATCACTTACTGTCTTATCCAACAAACAGTACAGGGCAACCATAAAGCAGACAGTCATTGCATTACAACTGTGAAATAGTGGTATTTTTTGATCATGGGCAGGAAAATTTCACAGCATATTACATCTACTACTTTTCATGAATCTACTATTTGTGCAAGATTTTTTCATAGTAAAATTTTAAGATCTAACAGGTATTTAAGTATTGATATAAATATTTCTACAAAAGTTTTTATGCTGACGTTGCAATTTTCATCAAGTTTTATATTCATAACATTAATATTCATTAAAAATAGCATTAAGTTTGGTCTCTATCATTCATTATATTTACAATATTGTTTATCACATTTGCAGCTCTACTAAAACAAACGTATTAAAATAATGAATTCTGAGATGAAAAAGATGATCTTTTGAAAATACTGAGTTGAGTCTAGTGGAAGATTTGTACTCTAAGAACATTTTTTTAATTGATTCATTCCCTTAACAGACAGGAAATCCCCAAGGTATTAAGGACTACAAACTTCCTTAAGTTCTGTTTCCTTTGCCTGTTTCTGTGCATTTGCATAATAAAGGTAATAAATGTAATAAAGGAAAGATAATTTTCACACCTCATAATCAAGGTCCAAATAACTGAATTCTCCTTTGGCATGAAAATGATGAGTGTGTTTATCCACTGTAAAGTTTACTTGATTGTTAAAATGCTCAATGAGAACAGAATGCCAGTGTTGATCATCCAAAAGGCTGCCCAGCGTAATATTAATTTGGGCATTAGAAGGATGAGTTTTAGTATCACCTTGAAAGAAGAAAAATAAAAACTATTAATTTCATTCAAAAATATAATTATTAAAAAATATACTGCTTGTTTATCATTCTTTATGCATTAAAATCCACTTAACAGTTTAAGAGAAGTTTTAGTCAAGAAATGCCTAGTAACTATATTAGACTTTATGAGACTATAGCTGTTACCTAAATTAATGAGTAGGGACAGCTTCCCTTTAGTTAATTCCATGGTGATGTGGTCTCCATTTTGTCCTTCTCTGTGGAGGAGAATTCCATCACTTTGCATTGTCTTAAACTTCAGAGAAATCACATCTTTCAGTGCATTAATGAGTTTTTTATTTAATGTGTAAATTAGACAACTTTTCCCATCAAAGCCAACCACCTCAGACCCTAGAAGTAAAGAAATGAAAGATAATGTATAATGCTATGTCTAAAAGAAGCAGTTGCATGTTATTTCAATATGGTATGAAGTTCCATCACTAACATCTTAAGATCACTTGTGCACAATAAATCGTATTTTATTTTTTCCCCATATATTAAGACTTGTGTTTTGATGATGATGGTATAATTAGATAATAAAACCATGTGAGAAGAGATCTGGCTTCTATTCAAATCTAATAATGTTCTCATATGCTGGTCTTCCTTTCCTTGGAGCTATGAAGTACTTTGACCATTTTTGTTTTCTTTGTATTTTTAGGCTGAAAATTGCTATCAATTTATGTGCAATTCTTTCCAATGAACAAAATCAAGACCAAAACAAAAGCTAAAGCTGCTGTTGACCTTCGGGAAGGGAAGGGAATAGGGCTAACTGATTTTATGAATACCCATCAAAATCAGTACAGATCGAACAAGACACACACCAAGGAACTGATAACACTATAAAAAGCTCATTGAGTATTCACAGTTCATATGAAATGAAGAAAAAAGTAATTACCCTTGAAAAATACATTTTTGAAGTGAATTAAGATGTAAAGGACACTCAATAAAATGTTTTTCAACTGTCTGGTTGACTTCTTGCAACGCAAGGGAAACCCATTATCTATTTACTAACTTGTGTAATTTCACTACAAATATTTCTCCATATTTTCAGCATGGAAGTGGCATGAATTCAAATTAACTCTTGTACATTAGGTTAGTAATTTATATTCCATTTTCATAACGCTCTTGTCAACTAAATGCAGTTATGTCTTTAAATATAGTTTCTTGATTTTCTTTTTCTTGTTGATAATGAAGAATAAATTTATCAAATGTACAATTAATAAATACGATGTTCTACCAAAATATGAACTGTAGATTAACTATTTTACTTCCTTTGGTCATTGAATGAAAAGTGTTAAGGAATGTTGAATTAAAATAATTAATGTATGCAGAATAGCTTCAATAAAGACTTCAATAAGACCACTTGTACATTTATATACATCTTTCAAACCAGCTTACTAGAGATACTCTTAGTAGGCAATGATAAACATAGGATTGGGAACATATTCCTCTTATTAATTATTGAACAAGAGTATAAACAACATGAACATGGCTCTCCAAAATCCCTTACACTATTCTGCAGCACTAGTTCCTAAGAAGCAATATCTGTTTTGTCTAAATTTGAAAATAAACAAAATTAAATTTTGCTCCTGCCCTCACTCCATGAATTAATGAAGATTGTGAAAGGGTTTCAGATGGCAATCAAAATTCTTGTAACATTCCTCACACTGGTCTTGTCTTCACCATCCATGCATTACCCCTAGAAACATACTAAAAGTATTGTGAGAAAGGCAGCTTGGGTGTCCTGCAGGGTTATAAACATAAATAGAATGTGGGCACATATCCAGAGTACCATAAGATTTTCCTCTCTTATTTACCAACTACTTGCAACTTGCTACACTTCAGAATCTTCTACATTGATTTTCTCTACTGTTGTAAATAAGAAAAATAAAATTGGTGGATTTGTTTTATGAAGACTCATCTTTTGTTTCTGCAATTTGCAATGTGCCTTTCTTAAATTAATGTGATCTAAATCTTAACTGCACTATGAAAATATCTCTGGAAATCACAAAATACCACAGAACCAAGAATCCTAGTAATCCTGAGCAAATTTTTAGTTGAAATGTTTTTGAAATTTTTTTAAAATCTTTATATCAATTGACATCAATGCTAATGTTCTATGAAGAAAACTTAAACCAATGCAAACCAACTGGCCATTATTAAAGTTATGAAAAGGATATGAAGTTCTTTCTTTGATTAATGTAACTGTAATACTGATTTAAAGCGCTTCAGCCAAGGAAGGAAATGCTGGAAAAGCTTCAATACAATTAGAAGTGATAGAAAACAAAAGAGTTTTGCAGTATCTGCAGTACTTTTTGTTAGGTATCATAACGTACATAACTGAGAATTTTTAATCCGCATTATATATTTATTTTCCAGTTACATATATTCTACAGCTTTATACATTTGTCATTTTCAGATTTAAACCTATCTTTCTGCCTACCATGCCAAAAAAATCCCCACCTTTTTGTTTCTTTGATTTCTATTTTTGGACTATTGTTTTCTATAGGTTCACTAGAGGATGAAATAAGAGAATACTGTAATGAAGAGGACAAATTTTAAACTAAACACATTCCTAATATCCCTTTTTTTTTAGTGTCACGACATAGCTTAACCTTAACTGTGCTTTGCATGGTTTAATTGTCATAATCTGGCATTTCAGGAACAAGACATAGGAAATGTCAGTAGAGATTCATTGTTCTCTCTTTTGTGCACACTAAATAGAAAGAACTATCAGGCAGAGGGTTCAGACAGATTTTGGGCTGAAGTTCAGCACAGCATATTTGCAGTGTAGTCATGACACAAGCAGATGTTTTATCGCTTCAGATAAAGGTAAGTTGAACACCTGGAGATAGAAAACAGATGAACTTTCTTTCTTTCTTTCTTTCTTTCTTTCTTTCTTTCTTTCTTTCTTTCTTTCTTTCTTTCTTTCTTTCTTTCTTTCTTTCTTTCTTTCTTTCTTTCTTTCTTTCTTTCTTTCTTTCTTTCTTTCTTTCTTTCTTTCTTTCTTTCTTTCTTTCTTTCTTTCTTTCTTTCTTTCTTTCTTTCTTTCTTTCTTTCTTTCTTTCTTTCTTTCTTTCTCTTTCTTTCTTTTATTTCTTTTCCCTCCCTCCCTTCCACCCTCTCTTTCCTTTCTTTGTTTTCCTTTCTCTCCTTCCTTCCTTCCTTCCTTCCTCCTTTCCTTTCTTTAAATGACTGTAGAACACGAGCTAAAAAACTAGGAACATTTCAGAGACAGCAGAGTGAGGAGGGAGAAGAACTCAAAGCTAAAAAAAAAAAAAAAAAGGAAGGGGAGCTCTTTAAATATTTCATATAAATCCACAACTGACTACCCTTATTTGGCCTTTCTACTCAATAAATGCTGAGGCAAAAACTGAAGGGCTTGTCTGGATGCACACTTTAGAAACATCTAAAATGTGATAGTCCTTCATCTAAAAAGTTTATAGGATAAAATGATTGCTGTGTAAAAAGAAGCCAAAAAACAAAAACAAAAACCAAAAAACCCAAACAAACAAACAAAAACCAAAACACAACAAAAAACCAAACCAAAACAAAAACACAAAAAAACCCAAACAACAAATCATAATAATCTGCTACATCCTACAGGAAAATTTAATGAGTATGACCAAACCTCACTGAGACTGTATTTAAATGGGAACTTTTTGTGAATACTAGGCAAAATTATTCAGAGCAGGCATTTGACTGGAAGACAGCAGATTTGAAGTAGTGTCAAAATTTACCCTGTAAATATGACTTCATTAAGATAGTAATGACTTTTTAGAACATAGAAGCATACATTTTTCACATCACTTTATGGAGTAGAGTAATCTACATCTTATATTCTTGCAAGTTTAGTTTTATTTGTGTAATTTCAGGTAAAACTGAAGAATTAAATTAGTGCATTTGCACTTGAATACAGAACACAGTTCACATACTTGATAATAAATGAAAAGAGAGTTGTTTATTCTTAAAATCTAATGCCCAGTGAGAGCTCCCTGAAGTAAAGGATGAGAAAATAGGACATGTAAAACACGTGAATCAAAGCTAAAGCAGATATTATTGGCATTTCTGCTTTTCTTTTTTTTCTGGTCCCACTTTGAAAAGTACAGTTATTCAAAGAGAGCAAGGCACAATTACTGTAACAATAACTGCATGTCCTCATTGTGCCTGATAAATGGAGAAAAAGACTGGAAAGAAAGAATTAAGCTTTTACATTTTAAAAGAATTTTAAAAACTCTAAATCTATAATCACCTGGTTTGTCTTCAATGGCAACCACTGAATTTACCCAGTAGAGACACTTGGTAATCAGTAGACGTTCAAAATATGTACATAGATTATAAGAAATCTGCAATTCATTTGGAATGATAGCATTTATAGTTAGGGGGGAAAAGCATTTCTAGAACACCCAATATCATTAATTCAGAGAAAATCTTAACCAGCTTGAAAGAATTTACATATTTTTGGTGCCATCATGTTCTTCACATACTGCATCATAGTGAATAACAGATGAAGTAAATATTAATTTTAAATTTATACTAATCTTAGAAGATAACTATAGTTGATTTACTTCTATAAGTTATCTATATGATACACTCTGTGCCATGTATGTAACATGCAAAAAAAATATAATCTTCCTCAAAACTAGTTAATGGCTACACAAAAATATTTTCATTTCATAACTGCTTGTTCTAAATGTTTTATTTTTTCAGTTGCATGGATAATTTTCTTTATTTATCCTTTAGACTCATAGAGTTTTCCACTGGTGGGCAACAGGCATGACACAGAAGAGAGCCATAATATGGATCTTGCAAGAAAAAATTATGATAGTGAATATAAATAATTAAAATCTGTCTTTTAGGCATGGTCAAAAGAGAGCTCTTCCGTTTGAAAAGGTTTGAGAGCAATGTTTGAGAGGATTTAAATATTATCACATCCACAAGATGAAGGACTGTGAAGAAGAAAAGCTAATGACTATCAATGAATTTTAAAGTGAAGCTTAAAGAGAAGAAAGCCTATTCTGCCATGATGCACCACAAAAATCAGGTCTCAAATGGAAGACTCTGATGAGATTTTAGTTTTGAATGACAAATTCATCTGTTCAGCCTCCATTTTTAAAATTTAGTTGTTCTTAACTTAAAAGAACTTAAAAGAGTTGAGGGTAAGTTGAATCATAGTCATATTTCTCAGTGACTCAGTTTTCAAGGCCATTTTCTCAGATAGTTCTAGGAATCATAAGTCATGTTCCCAGTCTCAAGGCAGCTGTCACTGAGGAATTCTGTGCGAGACTTTAAAGCTCTTCTCCTGGTGTGAGATGTCTGTTTTCTGGGATGAGGAAGTTTACCTGATTTCTGAGGTGACCTGATCTCCTGCATCCATATTTAAATTTTCCATATCCTCAATTCACTGCCTTTTGCCAATTTTTAAAAGTTAAGTTTAAGGCAGAAAGCTCAGAGAAATGTTTTTCTGATATACACTTAAAGACAGATAAAAATGCATGGCAATATAAAACAGGTACATAGAGACCATCCAAAAGAGATCAACCATACAAAATATAACTTAAATAAAGTTGAAAAAAAAAACCTCAAAACAAATCAACAAAGAACAACAGATAAAAGTATGTACAAAAAGCAGTTAAAGAAGTTGCTTAAAATAAATTCTGTTTCCATCATGGAGAAGAGATATTAAGAATAAAAAGCAGTAAAAAACTTACATAGAGGAATTTTTTAAAAAATCCATGGATGAAAAACTGTAGCAGGAAGATGACAGGAATATTTATACTGTCCAGCAGATCAATAAACCATGATACTTATGCAATATACTTGAAAAGGCTTATGTCAGTTATTAAGGGCACAAAAGTTATTCTAAAAATATCACTTAAATATGCAGAAACTGTGTCCTTCAATTTTGAAAGTGTCCTTCAATTTTTTATTTGTGGATCTATCTAGTTGTACTCTTACTGGCTCAGGATCAAGACCATATAGATTTAAAACTGTAAATATTTATCATATTTTGGCCTTCAGATAAATAGCAAGTATACCATGTTCAGATGCAATTTTTAGGACTATGACAAAAAAAAGAATGAGTTTGCATAAAATCAGTTATTGGATTTTGTCCACACCATTCATTCCAATACAGAAAGGACTGGAAAATAAGCTTTTCATATTGATAGTTGATGTAGAAATAGTGTAGTATGTGCATAAACTTATTAAATCAGTTTTATTTGAGATTAAATTTAGTCTTAGAAATCTACTTTCAAATTCTGTTTAGGCAGCAAAATACATTAATGATGATTAATTTCATTTAGCTGACTCAGAAATAAACTTACTATATGTGCATCCATACACTTCAACGCGCATGCCAATCCTGCCATTTGGATTCCAGTCCAAGGGCACAAAACGGAGAAATCTTGCTTTAATCGAATGCTGAAGCTTATAGTACACGACACTGTCTGCATTTGTGTTTCCAGAAAAGGCCTAGAAGAAAATGAAAAAGAAGTCAGCCACATCCACATTGAATACAGAAATATATGGAAGTTTCACTGATCTTTTCATTTTATGTATTTTACTTCCATTTCATCTGGCAAACAGTCAAGCACAGGAATAAAATGCAATTGCCAGTGAATTCCATAGGAACATTTGATGATTCAGTATTTAAGATTCTTTTAGATAAGGTGTTAACTCATCTGTGTATTTAGCATTGATGCCCCATGCAGCGAAGTATTTAACAGCTTCTAAAATTTCAGTGAACAAACCCTGCAAACCCAAATATTCCTTTCAAAAAACATGTGGAATATCCTCACATTTCAGTGCATGTCTCTATCTAACGCTTTAGCATAAGAAAACAGAGTGATGTCTGTAGATTCCTTCTATTGAAAGGCAACATGGATTTAATTTCAAGCCTGTGTTTCAAATGTGTAGCATGCTGTATTTAAAATGGTCTTATACTGACAGATCATGGTAATAAAAGACTTGTTTCCAACTATAGAATCCAAATTATTGTAAAAGGGATGTGTTTCAGTGTCCTGTTAAAAAAGAATCTTTATTTCAGATTTTTAACAAGGTGAAAGAAAAAAAGTAAATATTTTTGCAGTATTTAACTGATAAAACTACTTTCCCTTTTTCTTACATAAAGAAAACAGAATACATAAAAATGTAAAGAAGAAAATTTTAAAATGCTGTAATAATAAATTATACCATTCTAAAAACCAGAGAATATTTTCTGATTTCTCTGGGCTGTGTGGTGTTCCTTTGTCATGACCTGTTTATGGTGAGGCATAAAGCATTTGTTCAGACATTTTAAATCCAAATATCTGATGGTTCTCTGAAATATTTAGATGAGCAGTATTTAAAAGATTACACCTGTCTGGCTGTATGAACAGTGCTGTTGCCATAGCTATAAGCCACAGATGTTGCAGCTGGAGAAGTACAATGAAAGTAGCCTGTAAGCTTTTTAGAGTAGAATTATATTTGACATCTCAGACAGTCCTGTCTTTACAGTAGAACACCATTATTGTTTCATGGTCCAATCTAGCAACCTTTAAAACATAGAATTTATAACCATATAATGAGCTTCTTTCATCCTACCCCTCTTCTTTGTTCACACCACTTCATTCTTATGCCAAATTACATATAGGGAACATGCAATTACTTTAGATTATGCAGAGTCCTCACAACCTACACAGATATCTCATATTAAAAGATAAGGTTAAAAAGATGTCACGTGGACCTCAGTTAACAGGAATAACACACCTAATAATTGCACATAATAAACATTGTTTGCATAAATATTAATAGCGTTATACACTTAATCCAATATAATTGTTGACCCTTAGTTGGTGTATTTACAAGTACTATATTATACTGCCTCTTAATAGATTGAAAACATACCATCTTCCTCAAAGAATGCAGTTTTTGAAACACTGAAATACTATATTACAGTTTAGCTGTAAACAGTACCAGGGCCATTTATCTAAGCAGATAACTCTCCACAATGTAATTTAGTCCATGAAGTAAAAGTATTCTGGGCTGTACTGAAGCATGAACTGAGAGCCTGAACTGCTCTCAAACATGGCTTAACTGTCCGACTCAGTTTCTAACCCAGTAATTTCTTTATCTCAAGCTACTTTAACCCTTCTTTGAAGACAGAATTACTCAGTTCATTACGGTGTCAGAAATCACAGATGCACTCTGTATTGGTAAAGTGAAGTCTTGTCCATAAAAAGGCATTGACAAGCTCAGAATGATGATGTGAAGATAAGCTTGCATCAAGACCAAGTAAAAAAACTCTTTGGTTTCTCTGTCCATCCTCTATGTAGAAAGCCCATGTGGGTGTCAACCAGAGATAATACAGGCATCCAGTCCAAAACTTTCTTGCCAATCAAAAATTCCCCCAAAAATGAAACTGTATAGGACCCACAATTCAGATAATCTAAAGGACATGACCCCTATTTACAAATATAACTTTTACTGTATGATATACTATATATACACTGTAAAAAAAAACCAAACTAAATAATATGCACAAAGCTTTTACATACATTGTGTACCCATTGCAGTAAATATATTTATTACAAATATTACTTTAAAAAGTATACATCTATAAATAAATATAAGTATACTTAGCTGCAAAGCTCCATCCAGTGTTAAACAACAAGTCCTGGAACGGGACCAAACCTGAATAACTTTGTTGGAAGAGAAGTTGTGGTACTATTGTACCTCAGGATGGGTCTAACTTCATCATGAGGTTTATAGATCCTAGTACCAACACCAGAAAAAGCAGCTGAAAAACTCAGCATGAAGTTACTTGGAAATGTTTGTTTAAAATACTGCACAAAAAAGAAATGCTGCAGGATTAACTCATCTCTCCCCTTTTCTCCCAATACTTCTAAATTACATCCAAGTTGATATTACAGTTTAAATTATTTACATCATAGTAAAAAAAAGGAGTACCTATTCCAGATAACTTAGTACACAGTACAAGTACACTTCAATTGACAGGTTTTCTGAACAAGAATCCAAACACTCAGACTCATCTTTCTCAAGGAATTACCATTGTGGTGAGGTTTTGTTAGTCTATTGAGGTTGTTCCCCAAAGTCAACAAGTACGAACTTTTCAGTTAAAGTGAAAAAATGTGAAAGTCTTTCACTCTGACCAGAGAACACTGTACCAGACAATTCTCTCCTTTCCTAGATGTCCACATTGCAATTATGCTTAGGACAAAATGATCATAGAGGTAAAATTAACAGATTTTTAAGACTTAATTGGTTATAAATGATATATTCAAAAGTTGGCTGATATGTTTCATACAAAATACTAACAGTGGTATTATAATGAGAAGCCCTGTGCCATAGGTTATTCACTGTACATTTCACTAGATCTTTAATTGTTTGAAGATACAGTTTTAATAAAATAGTGTTACCTTAAATTGATTAAAACACACAGCAGTTACACATACTCATAAATCTGAGTGTTCATACTGTCTTTTTAAAAAAAAGGGCAGCATATATTAATGACAACCTGCTTAATATAGACCAGTCAGAAAAAAAAAATACTTGGCAGAAAATTATAATAAATTGTTGTTCCAGTAAATGTTCAGTGCTTGTACCACCTAAATCCCCACTCCTGTACTTACAGCTTTCCATCACTGTTGCTCAGAGACAGGATAGTGGAGTAAATTGTATCAATTCTATTTCAGTCTATCTCTTATTTCTTTACATTTGGTGAGTGTTTTATTTGCTATCATGTTTCTTCCTCTTTTTTTTTTTGGTCCTTCTTTATGTGAGTGGAATATTAGCATAACCTTACATAAGTTCCAAAACAGCTCCAGAATTAAGAGATGAATAGAGGATGAGACCACACTTGCCAGCTAATTTATCAAAGGTAACATCTGATATTTCTAAATGGACTCTAGATATTCTGCCCTTCTGTATTGTTTGGGGTTTTTTTTTTTTTTTGGGGGGGGGGGTTCCTTTATTTGTTGTTGTGCATTTTGTTATTTTTGAGAAAAAAAATTGAAACAATTTGCTTTCATATTAATATAGAAGAGGGAGATTTCAATATCTAACATTAAGCTAATGTAAAAAGGTTGTGGTTTTTGTTCTTGTTACAGTAGTAGCAGTTGGATATAACATTTCAGGTGTGCATGAAAGGGCCCTTGAACAGCTACTGCTAGTCAGAAGAGGTCTATCAACAGTTAGCCATTTGGAAATGTGCTTAATAAACCGTGTTTTCTGTCTCTTTATTCCTTTCATGTTCAATATAGCTGAAATGAAAAGGTACTTAATTTTCCAGATGACATGGTATGGGGACTAGTAAGTAAAATAAAATAAAAATAAAAATATCTTTTTTGTAAGCCACCAGCCACAACATCTACCTTATTTCCTTTCATCATTCAGATGTAGTAAAAAATGTTATGTGAAGTAACTTGTCACCATCAGAGGGTGCTCTTGTATTGACACAACTAGGCACAACATTCTCCCTTTAAAAATTATCATAACAATTTTTCCTCATAAAATCCCAATATACAGCATGAATCTACTATGTTTTATTTACTAATACCTAATCACATAGACCTAGAGATATTCCTGAAAATTGAAAAGATGAATGTGTTTCATAATATTATTACTGGAATTCCACACTATCGTTAACATTGAAGATTAGCTTGAAGATTAGCTAACTTTATCTGAAATGAATATATATGTTCTTTTATACTATGGATCTGTAGTCAATGACTTTAGACTCTGATATTCCAAAGGCAGCTGTGATGATCTCGAAAGGTAAAAACCAAAGAAGTTTTGGTAGTTTTATTTTCACTTTTTCCCCACTTGTTTATTAATAAATCCATTTGAAAAAATCTGCAAAATATGAATACATTGAATTTTGAATGTGGGCTAAAGTGCAACTGTCCTTTCTATTTTCAAATCAATTTGATATTTAATCACCACTTTCAAATTAATTTGCAGTTTAATGACTACTCTTCTGGGTAAACAAATATTTGGACTAGTGGCCTTTAATCTGGAGTACAAAATTGAATTTATACACTTAGAAATAATTAACTCCGTAAGAGTTATGAAATATTTTTAAAGGGCAACAACATATTTAACTTGTTTATTCCACATATTTGCTTGTTAAAATTTGAAAAAAATTGCAGGTGGTATAGTTCTCATTGTATGAAATTTAGATAGGAATCACAATTCACTATTGTGGTTTCAAAATACATGACATAACCCAGAGACTACCAGAAAGGTAATAACTAAAACACATTTAGTGTAACAGCTGTGTATGAAATCACTGAAATGTCAAAACAGTATGTGGGAATTCTGCTTGCTCAAAGCAATATAAAAAAAGAAAACGCAAACACTTTATTAATATTACAGTATAAATTTTCTTGTCATAAAATTTCACACCTTGATTTGAAATGAAATGAAATGAAATGGAATGAAATGAAATGAAATTATTTGAAAGAAAGGGAAGA